GAGCACATCCCCACCTCCAGCCGAGCTTGGCCAGGGCTCCTTCTCTGATGGGAGAATTCTGCCCCCTCCCCACCTTCCTCCACCCCAGGCCCAGAGACCTCCTGCAAGAAGCTCCTCCTGATTTCCCCTGATGGAAGTGGCCTTTCTCACCATGGACATTTGGGGGCACGTCGTTTGCACCCCTGCACTCTGAGCATGTGCACAATTTTCCGTTTGGCTGCTCACCCACCACCAGTCCCCAGTGCCCAGCCCCCGGCCCCAGCCACAGCCCCCAGTTTCAGCTCCAGCCCCCAGCCCCCAGCCCCCAGCCCCAGCCCCCAGCCAGATGTCTCACATGGTTTGACTCTGACTCTTGTGAAGAGGTGAACTGAAAAGAGAAGGTTGCTGCGGGGCCTGGAAAACCTTCCTCCTATCCCCAGGGAGAGACCACTCCTTGGAGAGCAGCCACCTGGCTGGGATTCTAGGGCCCGAGGCCGGGGTGGAGGCTCCCAGGGCTCTCACCTCTGGCTCTGTGTGGCGTTCAAGAAGATGTGCTCCACGTCGCAAATCTTGCGGCGGAAGTTTCTGCTCCTCACGTTTTCCTCTTCTTGGAACTGCTGGAACATCAGCCTCTCCTTCTTCAGCGCCTCGACCACCCCAGCACAGTGGCTGTCCAGCCGCTCTTGATGGAGCAGGAGCTCCGCTGGAAAAGGACGAGGGGAGCTGAGGCCCTCTGGGATCCCGAGTCACCTCAGGACATTCCTTCCTGGCTGTGACAGCTGCCTCTCCCAGGCCAGCCGCAGAGCAGGGGCCATGCAGGTCAAGGTCCTCATCCTGTGCCCTCACCAGGGCTTGGCCTGGGGATGGGTCCAGATCTCAGAGAGGCCAATCTGAGACTGCCCCAGGGTCTCAAAGTGCAAGGCTGTGAGCAGGGAGGTCCCTGCCTGCAGCAGACAGGAATAGAGCCTGCAAGATGGAGAGTCCTGGGGAGCAACTGGGGAGCATGCGGGACGGGTGGAGGGTGCTGGGGAGGGAGGGGTCTTGGAAAGAGGGTCTGGGAGAAAACAACCGGCACAAAACTGGGCAGTCGGGTTTGCCCCTTTATATCAGTGGGTATTCATTTCAATGATCCTGAATTCCACTGGACTTCTCAGTAAAAAGAACCAGGACTGGGCTTCAGGAGCTCCATCCTAGGCCTTCAGAGCCAGCAGACAGCCCCAGAGCACCCGCCGGCCCCCCCCCCCCAAACACTGACTGCAGTGGTGAAAGCGCTGTGGTCCCAGCTCTGCCAAGAATGAAGTGCGTGGCTCTGGGACAGTGTTTCTCCGGCCTCAGTTTCCACACTGTGCACTGGGCCAGAGATCCAGGGAAGGGGACGAAACCAGCCTTCAGGCGCATCTTTATTTGTATTTATATTTAACGCGCACATTTTCCAGATGAAGACAGTGAGGTTCCAAAAGTCACGTAGATCTCCCACGGCCACAGGCACTGGGACTCTCAACCAGGCTGTCTGACTCCACAGCTCCGTCACTGCCCCAGGCAGCGGGAGGCTGGGTGGGACCACGCGGAGGCTCTGAGAGCTCTAAAGGTCTGTGATGGATCTCGAAGCGCAACACGTGTGAAAGCCCGACAGGGGCCATGGAAGGATCCAACTAAAAGTGTGTCCCCCATTAGGTTCCTAAGAGAGAAATGGCACCTCTTTTTGAGTGCTCTAAGCTGAAAATAAGGGCTACCACTTTTGGAGGCTGTGGCTTATACCAGGTGCTCAGGATTCCTCACTGCAACATTTCAAGGAGAGTCAATTACCCCACTGACATTGCTTCTGCCTGTGAGGGAGGGATCAGAGAAGTCAGGTGACCTGCCAGAGTCACAGCTAGAGAGCTTGCGTCTGACAGCTGACTCCTGAGCTACAGACTGGCCTCTGGAGCATCCGCCGTGCAGGTATGGATCCAACAGAGGTGTGAGTGGATCTGGGATCCACACAGCTAAAACAGGGCAATACTCTTCTTTTCAGCATCTAACACCCTGTTTTTAAAAAACAATTAAAACAATTTCAGACGAGGATTCTGAGTACTACCTTCTCTGCCAGCCTGGGAGGTGCGAACCCTCACACATGTCTTTCGTCATGTGATGACAATATGCTAAATGTTTGGTGCAAACTTTAATGAACTTGGAGCTGCGGTGGCACAGACACAGGATGTGGGGCAGGGTGGCCTCCCCAGGCAGGGTCTCTACCTGCTCTCACGTTGTGGATGTCCTTTTCAATGTGCTGGGCTCTTGGCTGGTGCAGGTGCAGACGCAGCTCCAGTTCTGAATCCAGCTCATCAATCTTGGTGGCCACAATGACCCGGGCATTGAGGACACATTGGTCAAACCACTTCTCTAGGTGCTCAAAAAAGCCAGCTCGAAGTCTGAGAGACAGATCAGCAAGGGTCAGTCCTGCCAGCAATCACGACCAGGGAGGATCTTTCCATACTGACACATAAAATGCTTCCCCCTTTCACTCCTTCTTCTTTATTTTACTTCCCAATTACTCTGTATTTCCTTGTCTGGGTGGACCATCACTCATTTATCCAGACCCCTGCTGGAGCACACTGGGTGGTTTCCAATCATTTGTTACAAAGAAGGCTGCAGTGAACACCCTTGTACACATGCCAAGTGTGGAAGCACTTCTACAGGATAAATTCCCTGAAGTGGAACTGTTGAATCAAAGGCTAAAACTCATGTGCGGTTCCTGAAGATGTGGCCAAACTGCTTCCATCGCAAGGCAACTCGAACTCACATCCTCAATGAATCATAGCTCCTATTTCTCCAAAGCCTCAGAGTGTATTGTCAAACTTTTGAATTTGACAATTTTGTCATGTTATGACTGAGACTGGGTATATTTTCATGTGTTTAAGACTATTTAATTTCTTTTTCTGGTACTGTCCATCAATATCCTTCTCCTATTTCTCTTTCGTGTAGCTGCTTTTTTTCTTATCAATTTCTTTATATAGGAGTTCTTTAGATATTGGGAAGATGAGGTCCTTTGAATGTGATGTGAGTTGCAAATAGTTTTCCTAGTTTATCCCTTCTTTTTAAAAATTTATGTACCATTAAGATGGCTATGTATTGTTAAGATGTCAGTTGTCCACAGACTTATCTATAAATTCCATGCAATAATGATAAAAAAAAAACCTCAGCAGATGCCTTCTTATGGAAACTGACAAGATGATTTCAAATTTATATAGAAATACAAAGGGCCAAGGATAATCAAGACAGTCTTGGAGAAGAAAAGTTGGTGGACTTACACTACCAGATGTTGAGACTTAGTATAAAGTGACAGTGACCAAGCAGGGTGAGGTGGTGGTGCAAGGACAGACACAGAGAGAAATAGAAAAGAGGCCCAGCAGAGCAGTAGGGAGAGGAAAGTCCTCTCAAATGGCCTGGGGTCAACTGGTTATCCACAAGGGAAAGAAATGACTCTGACTCATCTCGTGCATAAACAAAAAGAAATTCTAGGTGGATTTTACATCTAAATGTGGAAGTTTAAAACAATGAAGTTTGTAGTAGATAATAAGGATAATATTTTCATGACCTAGGGGCAAGAAAAGATCACTTAGATAAGATAGAAAGTATACTAACCCTAATTTAAAAATTGATGAATAGGATCTTATTACAAATAAGAATTTCTGTTCATCAAAAGTTAACTTTAAGGGAGTAAAACAGGCAAGCACAGAGCGGGATGAACATTTTTCCATGTATTTACCTGACAAAAACCTCATACCTGGGATAGGTAACTAACTCACATAAATTAATAAGAAAAAGGGCAGACAGTCTGCAGAAAAAACATGGGCAAAGATTTGACCAGGCATCACAGAAAGATAACCAAATGGCCAGCAAGTATATGAAAAGCTGCACAACATCATTACTCACTGAGAAAACGCAACTTAAAACCACAATGAAACACTGCTACATATACACCAGAATGGCTAAAATATAAACTGCTGACAATACCAAGTGTTGATGAGGATGTGGAGCAACTGGAACTCTCACGCACTGTTGTAAACTGTTCAAACAAAACCACTTTTGGAAACTCTTTGGTAGAATCTTTTGGTTGTATCTCCTCAAGATGGACACACATATAATTCTATGTCCCAACAATTCCACTCCTAGTTATACATCTAACTAACAGAAATGTACTAATAGAAATGTATACATATGTTTGCCAAAGAACTTGTCCAAGAAAGTTCAGAGCAGCATTGTTGGCATATTCCCAGAGGGGAAACAACCCGAATGTGCATCAGTAGTAGAATGCATAAATAAAGTGGGCTGTATTTTCTCTAATGAAATACTATACAGAAATAAAAATGAGCTACAGCCACATTTAAAAATATAAATGAATCTTACAAATATAATGAAAGATGCCTGACAGAAAAGAGCACATTCTGTCCTATTGCATTTAAATAAAGTTCAAAAACAAGCAAAACTAACTCAGAAGTTAGAATATTTGTTATCCTTGGGGAAGAGGGGGCAGTGACGTGGGCTGGGTACATGGGGGGCTCCTGGAGAGTTGCTAAGGTCTGTGTCTTGTGGATCCTGATTACCAGGTGTGTTCCCTTTGGATAATTCATTGAGCAATACACTCACGATTTCAATGCTTTTCGGTATGTGTACTATCCTTCAACATGCAAATCCAATCAGTTGAACACAGAACTATTTTTCTAGCTAGTCCCAAGGCCAGATGGCACAGTGTTTCTTTCAAGACTCTGGAGTTACAGGGTCTAGATTCATATCCTGGATCTAACCACTTCCTATCTCAGAGGTCTTATCTACGTTACTAACTCTCTGAGCTTCGGTTTCTCCATCTGTAAAATGGATGAACTATGGTACCCCTCTCACAGTTACTAAAGGGATTGAATCCTCTCAGTAAATGTTAGCTCTTGGGTGGTCCTGGCTTTTCTTTGTTCTATGGGCCGTGGAGAAGATGGACAATGGCCTGTAGAAGAGGAGGGAGAAGGATGAGGTTCAATCAAGAGACATTTTCAAAGTGAGATGATAGTGACGTGAAGGAAAAGAGTCCAAAGGCCTGACTTTACTCCTTTAATCCCTGCTCATGGGAGGTAGACTAACCAGGTGATCTCTAGCTGGTTAGCCCTAGCTATGACACTGTAGAGTCAGGAGGGCAATGGAATTGCTATCCCAAGGCCACATTTCCACCTTTGGTCCAAATTCAAGCACAAAGGCCCAGAAACTTGGGAGTTAGGGGAGGTAAATTCTCAGTGGTAGAATTATGGGTCATTTCTATATTCTTCATTGTACTCTTTTCAATTTTAATTTTCTGCAATAAATGTGTCACATAATCAGAGCTGAATACCATACTGATATATTCATACCTATGATTTATATATATATAATTAAAAGAAAAAAAAGAAGAACCCCTAAAATTACAGGTGTGCCAGGATGTGGAACCCAGAAACATCTTGCAGGGAAAACATTATTTCTTATGCATGAGGCCTAACTCAGCAAGGCATCCTGGGACAGGCGGAGGGGGGTCACTGTGACTGAAAATAATCCCTGGACATTTGTTCTTTTTTATGGTGCATCTCATCTCTACCCTCAGTTACCTACAGGCTTTCTTTCTCCAGCTGAAACGAGTCCAATCTTTTGTTGCAATGTTTCACCTTGTTAATAAAACACAGGATAAGAGCACGCATATAGAAAAGGTTTCCACTCACTGTTTCTTAATTTCTGAAACCAGCCTGGATGGAATGATCACTTGTTCCAGGAACTTGGCATTGGAAGTGTCGTTGATGAGAACGGCAGAAAGGTTGGACTGGGGCCTCTTGCAGCTCTCTTCTTCTTGTTCCAGGGGTAGGAAGACAAAATAAGTGTTTCCACTGGAGGTTGTGAAGGACTCTATGTTCTCATGGGAGACCTCCCCCAGACTCTCTTCCCGGGCTTCAGCCTGAGCAGAAAATAAGACTTTACACTTGACATCATCAAACAGACCCGGGGATCCCAACCACAGGTTCCTTGACATCAGAGGTTGTAAACCTGTGGGCCAAATCTTGCCTAAAACTGTTTTTTGCCCATATTGTGCTTTTAAATTAGAAAATTTTAAACTGGGATTTCTGGTTTCTCTTAAAAATCAGAAAATCTGGTAATTCTGAGCCTACATTCCCACATGGCATTGTTGGCTGGAACTGAGTAACAGCTGCACAGTTTCCATACACTGAACGTTGGTGTCTCTCCAAAATCCATATCCCCAGTGTGTTGGTATTTAGAGGCGCGGCCTTTTCTAGGCAATTAGGTCATAAGGCAGAGCCCTTAGGAACGGGATTAGTGCTCTTACAAAAGGGACCCAGGGGATGGCCTGGAATCCATATTCAAGGTCAGAGGCTGCCTGCTCAGAGGCAGGCGGTCTATGAACTAGGAAGTGGGCCCTCACCAGGTGCTGAATCTGCTGGCACCCTGATCTCGGACTTCCCAGCCTCCAGAACCATGACAAGTAAATTTCTGTTGTTTGTGAGCCACCCGGTCTGCGGCATTTTGTTGCAGCATCCCAAACGGACCAAGACAACATCTGCACCACTTGTCACTGTTTTACACTTGGTCCCCAGTCCTCTTTTCTGTCATGTGCCTGTGGGCACTTGAGTTGGTGGCAGAGAAGTCTCCCATGTCAGTTCTTCCACAGCAATACAGGGAAAGGGACTTTTGCAATTCATGAGTGTGGAATTCAAGCTACTGTTCTGTGGGTTTGTGTTTTGAGGACAAGATTTATTAATACACGAGTCACATCCCTGCCTTCTAAGGAGAGCTCATAAATGGATCTTTTGTGTCACACAACCCGAGAATGGGCAGAGAGAAGGAACGGAGAGGCTGAGTTGATCCGTACAATAAAGAGGAGCTGGGAAAGAGCATGGACCAGGAAGGACAAGGAAGGCCACACAGCTGGGGGATGACTTCAGAGCAGGGCGCAGGATGGGATGTGGGGAGAGGAAGGTGAATCTTAAAAGCACTGCTATGAGAGAGGAACTGGATCCCTGCTGACGAGAATAGAAGATGTGCACACGTCTGTGACTCTTTACATGCAGCCCAGTGGGGACTGCAGCTTGTGTCAGGGTTCACACAGTCAACACAGCACGCTTTCCCCGCACCCAGGGATGAACCCATTGCTGGCCTACCTCATCCACAGATAAACTCTCGCGTTCTTCCTTTTCCTCTGACTCTTCCTCTTCCTCCTCCCTCGCCCTCTCCTCCTCCACCCTGTCCTCCTCCTCCTCCTCCTCTTCTTGAACCATCCCATTTTCCAGGTTCAGGGAGGGCTTTAAGTAGCTGTCTCTTTCAAGCTGCATTTCTTCCAGTCCCAGAGGAGAGTCCTCTCTAGACTCATGCATCTCGGCGCTCAGGACAGACTCTTCCTGCTGGCTCGCTGCCACCTCTTCAGCTGTGGAGGACTCGATTTCTTGATCTTCTTCGTCTTCCATCTCTTCTGCTGGCCTGGGGGAACTTGTCCCTCCACTGGCGCTTTTCCCGCTTTTGCTCATTTCTACATTAGCCCTTTGTTTTCTCCTTCTCTCCTGGAAGCGCTTCTCATGTGCTTCTGTTGATGACGAACCCCAAAGCACAAGGAAAAGCAGGTTAGCAATGGAACCCAGATGGGGCCTCCCCAGCCCACCAGTGCACAAGAGTGAAATCAGGGAGAAGCAGACCTGAATTGTGAAAGTATTACCTGGTTCCCTGACCTTGAAGATGACTTCCCCATCCAAGTTCTACAAGGAAACACACGGACGCTGAGTGAGCAGTGCTGCCTTCCTCCAGAGTGCCGCTCCTAAGGGCACCTCTTCTTTTAGGTAAAAGGACCCGCCCCTCCCCTTCGACATCTTAAGTGGCTCTTCATCTTTATTTCACTGGGGTGATCACTGTTCCCAATCCAGGGAGTCAGTGTTCCTTAATCCCAAGAAAACTACCAAACCCTTTCATCACATAGCGGACGTTGACAGAATAAGATCTCATTCTGGCACATTTGGGGTAGGGATCTGGGGCAAAGAGCAAGAAAGTGTAATTTGAGGGATGCAAACAAAGGGGCAGGAGTCTGCTGCACCCAGTGCTGGATGCGAACATACGGAATGAACATGATTTACACGATCCGAAAGGCCCCTTGTTAACTCTACAAATTCCCTGTTTCACAGGCTCTGGTTGAAATTGTGGGTGTAGTGTGTCATGGATAACAGCATGGGCTGTGGAGTTTGCAGGTCTGGGATCAAATCCCAGCTCCTTATAAGCTGGGTGATCTTGGGCTAGCCCCTTAAACCCTGTGGGGCTCAGTGTCCTCCTTTGTGACGAGGGGATCATAACAACGTTGATCCTTTAACCCAGGCAACCAGACTGAGCTCAAAGGGCAGATGGCAGCTCACTCTCCTACAGCCTGGGCTCCGCCTCCACCCACGTGCCACGGGGAGCATTTACCAGCCACTGGAACAGGGACCCCTGCCAAGGGGAGGGATTCTATGAGGAGCCGGGGACCCCACATATGTGGGAAAGCCTTGGCCAGGTTCAGCGTCACCCACAAGCATCTTCAGCTCTGCCCATGAGGACTCTGGCTGGGTGTGTGGGAAAGAGCCAAACTCTGGAAGAGTCAGACCAGGACACTCTGGGTATTCACGCATTTACCCAGGGAGCACTCACTGGGTCTGAATTTTGTGCAAGACGCTGTGCTAAGGACAACTGAAGTTGAATAAAAGTAAGGCATACTTGACCTTCAGGAAACACCTTCCATGGGGGCTGTGAACTCCTGCATTTGACAGCAACCAACGTACAAGCTGGTTCAGAGAGGAGAGGTGACAGGCACATGAGAGGAGGGGTCAGGCTGAGAGGATGGAACACTTGTCACTGGTAGGGACTGGAAGTATGGGTGAGTTTGGGATGTGTAGAGACAGAAGGATCCCAGCAGAGGAGCAGGATGAGGAGCGGCAGGGGCAGGAGGCATATGCAGGGAGAGCAGGGAGTTTGCTGAAGCAGGAGAGTCAGGTAGGAACCAATGTGGGGGCCTCTGGGGTCCTGGAGGGACTGTGGGTTGGACCTGGTAGGGGCTGCAGAGTCGGGGAGGGGCTTTTGAGCAGGAGAGTGGCTAGGTCAGAGTTGTATTTGGGGGGGTTATGTGTCAATGGTGGGTTGGATGAATGCAGCTCATTGTTATAACTCCATTCAAGCTTGAGGCCTGAACTGAGCCCTTCAACCTCTTTTCATCTGAGGAAGAGACAGCTTCCAGCTTCTCACTCCTCGATATCCTGACGGATCCTAACTCCACAGGGTAGAGAAGGCATTCAATGTTGCAGCAGATCAGAACTAGACATCTCCCTCTCCCCTTGCTTCTCGGTGGGTGGCTGGGTTTTGGGTTTCCCTCTCCATACCTGCTCAAAGATTTCACGAACATAGAAATGTTGGCTGAGGGTGGAGCTGTAGGAGTTGAGCTCTTTCAGTATGATCACCGCGTACTCCATCACTTCCTTTGTCAGGAGGACGTGAAAACATTCATACCTGGGAGGTAGGCAGGGGAGACCACTGTCTAAGGGGGTTCTGCTGAGCGTGGGAGACCCCAGCCAAGAGCCGCACCCCCGACCTCACAGAGACAGGCTGGAATCTGCATTTAGCTCTGCACAGAGCTGCTGTGTACATTTCTCTTCACAACAGTGCTTGGTTTGTTTTGCTATTTTTCTGATCATACAAAGAACACATACTCTTTGTAGAACATTTAGAAAACACACATGAGAGAATTTTCTGCTCGTTGTAACATGGGCTCCCATTTCCTGTCCACCGTCCTACCCTGTCCTCTGAATTTACCTCCATCACCCCGTCGGACCCTCCGATGCCCCAAGGCCCAGACTTCTACCTGTGTCCTAGGTAAGAAGACCAAGGTGCAGGGGTTACTTATTTGCCTCAAGTTATACTTTTGAATCTAAGCGCTGCAGTCAACCGGCAGTGCAATTCCATGTCTGCAAAGGGTCCCTACAGAATCAGTTGTACGAAGGCACAAAGATACAAGATAGTTCACAGAGAACTGTTTTTAATATGGAGAAATTGAAACCAATCTTAGAAAGCTAATCAATCAGGGGATGTTTTAGTCACTATGAAACATCCATATTAATGAATTCTACATCGTCATTTAAAAATGGAAATCTATCTGCTGTTATAGAACAATTTGCGTAGTATGACCCAAACTTTATTTTAAAAACCTATATATGTGTACACATCCACATATATAAATGTATATGTCCATAAAAAGGAAGAGTTGGGCAGGAGTGAGGGAAAATTTCTACATTTGTATTAACTTTTTTTTCTTTAACAAAGGGCATGTACGTTTTAAAATTTAAAAAGGTGGAGGGAGGGCCCATGCTCTTGGCCTCTGAACTACACAGCCTTGAAACCTCCCTCCACATACTTATCAGATCAAAGTTCTCCCCAGAAGCTTCTATGCTGGCTGAGAGCAGAGCTGCAAAAGACCCAACGTCCTCCAAAGTTAGAGGCAATATTTGCATCTTGAGCTTGCTGGGCAACCCCTGGGCTGCTCAGCAGGCCGCCTCTGACCTTGAATATGGATTCCAGGACAACCCTTCTGTCTTTTGGGGTCTGGTCTGCCTACCTGCATTTCATATTCTCCAGAAAATCTTTGGCCTTTTCCAGGTGAAGCTTCAGTGTTTCCTCATGGCTTTGCTGCCTCAGTTGGTCCAAGAGCTTGTCAAGGTGGGCCTCCTGGGCCTGGCAGTCCCCCACAACAGGAGGACGCAGACGTGAGTTACCAGAGCTGACAGGTGTAAGTGACGTGCAGAGACCCTGCCCCTGGAGCTGAGGTGCAGGTACCGGGCAAGCCCAGGACTCTCCTCTACCAAGGGCACCAAGTGTGCCACCTCCTGACTCTCACTGCTCCGGGCCTCCGGGCTCTTCTCTCTGCCTGCAATGTTCTTCTCTGTCTACTTTACATCTCCGGAGACCCGGCTCAGATGGGGCTCCTCAGGGACACATCCCTTACACCCACCTGCCCTGGGCAGGCCCTGCCACACCTTCCCGTGGCACCTGCTCCTTGTCCTCCTTCGCACCAGTCACACTTGAAATCAGATGCTGAGCTTGCCCCCTCCACTCCCTGGACTGTGTGGAGGCAGGTGGCTGGGGGCCCAGCTCATCTCCTGTGGGGGCAGGGTGACTGCCAGAGGCAGATGCTCCAGAGCCCCGAGTCTGTCTGCCTCTCATGCACACTCTCTTACAGACAACACATTTGGATCCAGGGACCCATCACAGAGCCCAGGTCTGACTCAGGCAGATTTCTTCTACTCCCATCCGGCCCCGTGACCAAGGTGAGCCTCAATTTCCCCACCTGTTCGAGTTTTACAGCTTGAGGTTTTACCTTTGAGTCTAGGATACATTTGGGGTTAATTTTTGTTTATGGTGTGAAGTACTGATCAAAGTTCTTATTTATTTTGCATCTGAGTGCTGGCTGAGTTCACAGGCCACCAGGCAGAATCATTGGGCTGCTGACAGTCTGGCTGTGGCCCCTCCCTCATCCCCTGTGGGGGCTACCTGGGTGCTGGAGGCCACACCTGGTTCTCCAGGCTGTGCTTCTGCCGCTGCTGCTCCATCCTCTTCTCCAGCTCCAGCTCCTGCACCGACAGCATGCTCTGATGTGCCTCCCACAGCTGCACGGCCTCCTGGAAGTAGCTGAAGAGGTCTGCGCTCTGCTGCTCTGTCTGCTTAGCCAGGGCCTCGAAGCATTTCTGCAGAGGCAGAACCCAGAGAAGGGGCCTGAGAGCCGTCTGGCCCAGGGCGAAGAGGAGGGCCCCACTCACGGGGCTCCCTCGCCAGCCAGTGGAGGCCTCATGTCTCCAAGGACTGGCTGTCACTGCCTGGGCACCATCCCTCAAGATCATCTTCTCAGCCACACCTCAGCTCATGGCCTTCCCACCTCTGCGGCAGCATTTCTAGTCTGCCCAGGGTCATCTCTTTGGTCTGGCTGACTCTGAAGTCCCATCTCGAGACCTGTCTCATGTCCGCTGGAATCACTGACAGGAGTTTGGGGCCTAGAAGAAGGAAGGACCAACCCTAGGCTTCAGCCTGGCACGCAGGTGGCCATACTATCTCGGCCTGGGGCATCTTTCCTTCTTTGGAGCTCCTGACGTTCAGCATCTGAGCCAAACACCACCCTCTGCTGTTAAATCCTCACCTCTCCCCTTTTATCTACGTGTTTTATGCTCTCATGGGGTCGGGGTTGGCGAACTTGACCTGTGGGCTAAATGTGGCCCTCTGCCCTTTTTGGCTTGGCCCTGCCAAATGAGCACAGATTTTACATTTTTAAATGGCTAAAAAAATCGAAAGAAGATACAGTAGTCCCCTCTTATCCTCAGTTTCACTTCCTGCGGTTTCAGTTACCCACAGTCAACCATGGTCCGAACTTATTAAATGGAAAGTTCCAGAAATAAACAACTCATAAGTTTCAAACTGTGCACCATTCTGAGCAGCATGATGAAATCCCACGCCCTCCCGCTCCGTCCCTCCCGGGAAGTACATCGTCCCTTGGTCCAGCGCAGCGGAGCCACGTGAATACGCTCCCCACCACCCGCCACTCGCGGATTAGTCACTCAGCAGCCATCTCCGTTATCAGATCGACTGTCGTGGTATCGCAGTGCTTGTGTTCAAGTCACCCTTAGTTTACTTAATAATGGCCCCAAAGTGCAAGAGGAGTGACGCTGGAAATTCAGATATGCCAAAGAGAAGCCGTAAAGTGCTTCGTGCTTCCTTTAAGTGAAAAGATGAAAATTCTCCACATAATAAGGAAAGAAAAAAACTCAGACTCAGCAAGGGCTCGGGGAGCACTCACGGCCCGAGACTGCTCACGTGGACTCCTGCTCAGCACCGGTGTCAGCGTGTGGCAGGGGAGTCAGGGGTGAGCCTGGAGTGCCTGGCACAGAGGGACTGCTCCAGAGGGGCTGGCCACGATGAGGGAGATGAACGCACTAGTGACAGGAAAGTTGGAGGCACCCAGACTCCTATTCTCCTCATAGCCCAGTGCCCGGGGGACGCCTGCCCTGCTCCCTAGCTGTGTGGGTCCCCGGCTACGCACATCCAGGCCTTCCAGCTCCTCCTCCACCTTGCTCTGGAGCGCTCCCACCATCTGCAAGAAGGACGGGCTCACCAGGCTCTCTGCCTCCTCCTCCGTGAAGGCTTTCCAGTCCAGTAGCTGCTTCTGGAGGGGGACAAGGCAGAGACTGGCTTAGGGCCGGTGGGGCTTCACCTCAGGGCCTGGTGCTGCCCCGAGATCTGCCTCCCACCCATCCCTGAGAGCCTCAGAGGAAACCCTCACAGCAGCCGAGAGGGTCCAGCTTTGTGGTGCATCCACCGTGTCCAGCTGCTGCGTGCTGCCCCCTTGTCTCACTGAATCCCCCAGCAGTGTTCTCATTAGCCCCGTTTGACAAGGAAGGAAACCCAGGCTCAGAGAAGTGAAGGGACTTGCTGGAGGCCACACACCTGGCAAGTGGTGGGGCCTGGATCTGAACTCAGAGGGCTCCCACTGCAGAGCCTACAGCATAAACCGCCATCCTAGACGGTCTCGGGGCTGCTGTCAGTCAGACAGGGCTCCCCTTCCCTGTAACTGTGAGTTATGCCAACTGGAAAGCGGGCTCTCTTTATTAGGAAAGCCTTGGTTTATGCACCAACATCTCACATAAACCAACCTCCCCCAAATTAAAGACGTGTCTACAGCTGTGTACTTCCAGTGCTGCCCAACAGGAGGACCAGGTGCCCTGGGTCAGGCTTCCTGCGCCCCTGGGTACGGGACGACCTCAGCACCGTCCCCGCCTGTGCCCCACAAAGGGCAGCGAGTCCAGCTCAGGCGGCAGCACAGGGGGAGCCCGGGCAGCGCAGGAGGGGCGGGGAGCCCGGGGCGGGGTCCTGGGGAGGCCCCCGGGCGGTTCCCTCCCCTCCTTCCGGGCTCTACCGCTGAGGTCTGACGCCCCCAAGAGCTGACCGAGAGGCTCAGGGCAAATGGCAGCCCCCGGCCTTCTGCAAACGTGGTCGTCTCGTCCCCAGGCGGGGCCGGCCCCCAAGTCCGAGAACATCCTAGGTCCCTGGGAGCGCGAGCCCGCGGCTGGCACAACCTGCGCCCCAGAGCCCAGCGGGGCGGAGCCGGCCGAGGGCGGCTGAGGGCGGCTGAGGGCCGCCGAGTCCCCGACTCCCGGGGCCAGGGCGCGGGTCAAACCGTCCCCAGAAGGGTTAGGCTTCTCTGGGTTTTTCATCTGAACAAGGAGCTGGGGAGTGGCAGTTTGACACAATATTTCCTTGAGCCCCAGAAAACCAGGCACTCCGTAGAGGGGTTTGGGAGTGAACTCGCGGTCTCGGCGCAGAGGCGGCAGGGGGGTAGACAGGGGGGCGGGGCGTGGCGGGGGCGGGGGGGTGCCTAAACAACCCCCATGACACGACCTCCTCTGAGCAAATAATGTCAAGTGCTGTGAGTGAAACAGAGAGTAAAGGGGAATTCTGAGGTGATCAGAGAGTGTATACCTTCCTCTGTGGGATCAGGGAAGGCTTCTTGGAGGAGGCCATGTGGGGCTACAACCCGAGGGATGGGTGGGAATAGCTGGGGAGGAAGGGGTCCCGGCAGAGGGACAGCTTCAGGATGCCCAGGGGCCAGTGAGGGCCAGGGCACGTGAGGAAGGAGAGGATCCAGGCTGGAGAGGGGCAGGGGCAGGCCAGGGACGGGACACCAGGCCGCTGCCCTTTGACCCTCTTCTCTGGCCGCCAGGAGGGGCACCCACCTTGCACTTCTGCATGTGGGCCAGGCACTCCTGCCACGTCTTCTCATACTGCAGGCGGACACGCATCATACAGTCCACGTGGTAGGCGTCTCATGGGCAGAAACAGACATGTCAGTTGCTCTTCCAGCAGGAAGAGGGCGCACCAGCAGGAGGAGCTTCCCCGGTGCTGAGGGAAGAGCTTCTCCCCAGCAAGGCGCCTCAGCAGCGTGGTACTTAAGTGAGATGGTCCCCACTCAGATCAGGGCTCCCTCCTCACAGGGGGCCCCGACACCCCAAGATAAGGCCCTCAAATGGGGAGTCATCTTCAGCTGTTACAAATCCACTCTGACTTGATTCTTGGCTCAGATTCAAGGCTGGTGAGATTCTCTTTGGAGAGTTGGACCAAGTCGTACAACAGTGGCAAGTGTGCAAACTGAACGAGCGTTTACAGGTCATTCTGCGGTTAATTCCTTAAGAAGCGACTGGACTAGCAGAACACGCAGAAGCTCGTGGATGCATTGACTGATTTCTCCTCTTCCCTCTCCCTATTGTTTCCCAGTTATGATCAACTAGTGTGACCCTTGGTGTCTACAATAAGTTCTGGAAACTGGAAGACCACACAGAGATTGTGGTAGTTGTTCTTGGACAAGGGCTGGGGAGGAAGGCAGGGTGAACGGCAGTGGGGACGTGCGGGAGGTTAGACAGGCAGTGGCACTGGCAAGGAGCAGCGCTGAAGCTGCTTTCTCCCATCTCCAGGGCCGCTTCATAGGCCAGCACACCCCCATCCTTCCAGTGAAGTCGCTGTGATGGACGCCCCTGGGGTGTCTGTGCTTCCCTCCTGTGCCCCTCTGATTGTCCCCCTCTAACCTCATCACTCCCAGCTCAGCACCTTCCACTGGGTCCCCAGTGCCCTCAGGATAAAGTGCAGCCTCCTCCACATGGCCACGCGGCCGGCACAGCCTGGCCCTCAGCATCTTCTGGCCTCCCTGCCACCTTCTCCTTTCCCCGAAGGCCCAGCTGTCTTGCCTCTGAGCCTCCCCACGTGCTGGTCTTTCTGCTTGAACAGGTCCCCTGACCCCTGGGCTTGGCTAACTCCTACTTGCCTTGTCGGTTTCAGCTGGATGATCACTTCCTTGGCAAGGTCTTGTGTGCCTTAACCTGTGTCCCCAAATACATGCGGGTCACCTGCCCACTCCTGCTGTAACGTCCTGCATGGTCTGACTTCTGCTCCGGCCTGGAAGCACCCAAGGGGCAATCCTCCCTGCTGGTTACCAGGGCCCAGTGCCACACCTGGCCCTAGGGGGTACCTGGTGAATGGCGGCCACTGCTATCATTTAGGGTCTCGGGGCTCTTGCCCTGGATATTATAATATAATATAACTGTAATACCTTTGGAATGATAAACCTGAGAGCCCCGGAGCAATGGTGAGTACTACTAACTGAGCTACTCAGCTCAAGTCCAGCCGTGACACTTCACTAGCTATGTGACCTTGGGCAGGGTGCTTCAACTCTCTGTGCTTCCGAGTCCTTCTCTATCACAGGGGGACAATGACACCACTGACCTCACTAGGTTGCTGTGAGCCTCAAAGGAGATAGAAATATTATATACCTTCTACAGCAAGGCTTGGAAAACTTTTTCTATAAAGGGCTAGATAGCAAATATTTCCAGCTTTGCAGGCCATAATGTCTCTGCCACCACTCCTCATTTCTGCTGTTGTAGAGCAGAAGCAGCCAGAAACAACATGTAACAAATGAGCATAGCCATGTTCCAGTGGAACTAACTTGCAAACAGGCATTGGCCCAGGGACAGGAGTTTGAGAACCCTTGACTTAGAGCATTTTTAAACACTACCATTTATTACTGAGCGCTCTCTGTGTAAGCCAGGCACTGAATTATGCCTGGATCGCAGGATTGCATGTAATTCTCACATGAACCCCACAGGGTAGGTACCTTTATTGTTCCTCTTGAAATCCCTATTGTACAGAGGAGGAGTTCGAGGCCATGAGAAGCTGCGACTTCCCCAAGGTCGCAGAGCTGGGACAGCACAGAGCTGGGCGTCACACCCACCTCTCCCTGACTGTAAGACTTTAACCTCACATGCCCAGGGCCTGGCCCCTCACCTGTCCTCACAAAGGGTCATTGGAACTGTCCCTCTGGCTCCATGCTGGGTCAAGAGTCAGGGGTCAGAGTGTGTGGCTGGCGGGGCTGCCGGCTGGGCAATGACTGCGAGGTGGTGGGAGGGAGGAGGAGCTCTGCCAGGCCGAGTCCTGGAGGGTGGATGTGAACCCCCTGGGCTCACTCTCCGTCTACATGCCTCCCTGCTTCCCCAGGACAGCCTTGCCACCCACTCCCGTGTTCACAACAGACGCTCACGTAACCAGCTGACTGGCTGCTGGCGCTGCTACAAAGCTCCCAAGCGAACAGAGCTGGAGAGACCCGAATGGGAGCCCCAGACCTCACTCACCGAGGTGCTTGTTCAGGGAGTTGAGAGAGGAACGCCATTCGGCCAGCTGAGCTCTGCTGTAACCGGGAGGCAGAAGGTCACTGGGGAGGGAAGATGTGACAAGTCACCAAGCTTGAATAACCGTTCACTACCCGAACTGGCAGCACCTTCGAGGAACACGGCTCCAGAGTCGGATCGACCCAAATACCGAAGATACACAGTGACTCGCTGGGGGTTTCCTGGTGTTGAAAAACATGCCCCATGGAAAGGCCTATTTAATATCCATGAGTCTGGTACTTAGGAAATAAAACTGAATTTTTCTCAAGGGAAAAAACAAACGGTTCACGTCACGAACAAGGAAACCCCTTCTGGGAACCCAATCTGAGAAAACAATATAAAACGCATATGAAGTTTATGCATTAAGTCGGTCACTTAGCACTGTTTATAAACACACACACAGAATACATAAACAACCTCATATCCAACAATAGGGAATTGTCTAAATAAACTACACAGTGTGGCAGACGGAAAATGGTCACGTATCATTAGCTCCTCCCACTGCGAGGTGGGGTCTGTTTCTCATCCCCGGATCTGGGCTTGGCTGTGACACTGGCCTTGGCTGATGGGACATCAGCAACGTGACCCAGCGGAGGCTCGGAGGGGCTCAGGCATCCCATTCACCCTGGTTTGCCGCCGGGAGCTCTTCTGCCGTCCCCGTGCCTGTGAGCTGGGTGAGCTCCTGGAGGCTGAGAGCGAGTGCAGAGAAGCCCCAGCTGCCCCAGTCCCGGCTCCAGACAGGGGCGTGAGGCCGTCCTGGGCCACCCAGCCCCAGCCAAGCCCGCCCAGACCAGGGGGACTGCCCAGCTGGCCCACAGAATCAGGAGAAACAGGAAATGTGTTTTAAGCCCCCATGTTTTGGGTAGTGTTTAACGATGTGGAAAGATGTGTAAGGCTAGGGGGACCGTGTAGTTTATTATCCAAACCAGGGCGTTTTTGACAGTGAAAGTGCAGGGGCTATTAATGATTATGCCAGGACAAGACGTGCACCCCAGGATGGTCTTGGGCACCCTACTTATGGTGGGACAGTAAAGAGCAACACTGTGTAGTACTAAATGCAGTGTGGTATCCTGGACCGGGTCCTGGAACAGGAAAAGGACATTAGTGGAAAAACTGGTAAAATCAGAAAAAGTCTGATATTTATTTAATGGGAATGCATCAAAGTTAACTTCTTAGTTTTGACAAATGTCCAGTGATAATGGAAGATCACAACTTTAGAGGAAATTGGGTGAGGGGTATACAGGAATTCTTTGTGCTATTTTTGTAATTTTTCTGTAAATCTAACATCACTCCAAAATACAAATTGTATTTTTAAAATTTATTTTAAAATTATATGCATTTATACTTGCTGGGTCCGAGAAAATCCATGGGGATTCTCCCCGGCCTTTGGATAATGCCCTCTCGGGCCCTGGGAATCTTAGCAAGACTCCCCAGCCCTCTGCCATCATCGCCCACAAGCCTGCAGCAGGGCCTGTGCATGAGCAGAAGCAAGGCCCCCGCCGGTCCAGGGCTCTGGGCTTTCCGGAGGAGGGACTCCCTGTGATCCCACGTGGGGCAGTTTCCTGGGACAGCTCCTGGGCTTGGTTAGAAGGCTCCCTGGCTGCCTGACAGGTCCAGGAGAAATAGGTGGGTGTCTACACAGTGTGTTTTGCGACTCTGTCAAGACCTCCTTGCACAAACAAACCACAAACGCAAAGCTTCATTCTTGACGCTCATGGGAATTCTATGATCAAGGCTTTGCAACTTGACCTTTAAGTTGCACGTTCAAGCCTTGTGTTCACAGTATGCACCTCTGGAAGCTAGAATTGTGCCCTGACCTCACCCTTTACGTACTCCCACGTAAGGAGCTACTGGGTCCTGTAAACATGCACTCATGCCTCTGATTTCACAGAGCCGCCCCACCTTTCTCCAGGCCAGCGCACATCACCCACTAGCTCCACGCTCTGCCTGCAGACACTGCCACCGCACAGTGTCTCCCAGCTGTGGCCAGAGCGTCGATGCCTGCATTTTCCCCCTGTGTTCAGCCCTGTCTCTCCCTCCATCAGGCAGGTAGCCAGCCAGCTCCACGTTCACTGCCTGGGCAGGGGGTGTGGTGGGGCAGAAAAGACAGCAGCCTAGAAATCTCTCTGGCTTTTGTTTTCAAAGTCTAAGTTCTTAGGAGAGCCTAGAGCATTGGTAAGGAGAAGGCGATTGTGGGAGTGGGCTGAGAGCCATGGGGAGGAGAACGATCCTGGGGACCAGGGCTTTCCCCTTGTCAATAGAAAGGGGCTGGGGGGAGGCGTGGACAGAGCAGGATGGCGGATGCCTGGCAGCAGCAGCCGGGTCCTGCTTCCTGGTGGCATCATGGGAGCAGCTGCAAGAGCCAGTAGGGAAACTGCTGCCTGGTCAGGGGCACGCAGGCGCTCAGAGCAGCCTCCTCAAGATTCCCGAGTCCAGCTGTTTGGAGGCAGCAGAAGTTGCCCAGATGCACCCGGATGGACCAAACACTGACGACCAGACTCCTACCACCAGGCCCAGCATCCAGTGAGACTCCATAACTTTCCCTCAATGGATGGGGCCCCAAGAAAGACAATCAGGGGCTCAGAGTCAGAAATAAGTGGAGTTACAGAAAACAACAAAAGTACTTTTCCTGGTGCTGAGATTTTTATCCACCTTGTTAATTTTACGCCTGCATGAAAACGTGGGTGCACACGGGGCAGGAGGCACCCACCGTGGGGGAGACCCTGTGGAGCTCTAATTGTCATTTGTATCCCAGGAGAACTTAGGCTCTGTGGTGGGGGGACAAGAAGAACCTGCACCCCAGGGTTACCAGGGTGGGAGGGGCCAGCGAGGGGCACAGGAAGAGGAGGAGTATCTCCCAGCACGGGAAGCATCTCCGCCTTGCAGGACCACGCAGGCTCCATCCTGCTGCTCAGAGCGGATGCTACAGGGTCCCCAGGCAGTGGGCTTCCAGGGTCTAGAACATTTAGTGTGCCCCCTGCCAAAGAGCTTATTATGGGATCAGAGCCAGGTGGCCCCAGGTCTGAGGGGAGTGTCCAGAGCCTCTAACAGGTCCCCTGTCTGACGGCAGCCGCCTCCTCACTGACCTCCAGCCTCCAGCCTCAGACCCTTCTAACACACCCTGCAAACTGCACAGCTGAGGGAGCCACTCTGCTGCCCTCAGGAGGAAGTACCCTCCCTCCCCCAATGCCCCCACCTTGCCCCTTGCCATTGCCTCCTTCCAAGTTTGGCACAGTCACCTTCACCTTCTTTCTGTAGCAAAGGTGTCACGTTCTTTGTTGTCATTGGGGCTGGAATGTGGGCCCAGGTGGTCAGCCCAAGACCAGAGAACCAGAACATGGGCCCAGGTGGTCAGCCCCAGACGAGAGAACCAGGAGATGGCCTGGTCTGGGGGACACATCAGGAGAAAGGTCAGTGCTGAGGACTGTGCCACCCCCAGGGCCCCCCAAAGGTGCCCTCGCCAGCAACCCCTCCCGTTGTACCAGATGGCGCAGAGATGCTCCAGCCGCTTGCGCTGCAGGGCCTCCTGGTTCTTCAGCATGCTCTCCAGCTCGTTCTTCACGGCTGGAGGAGCCTGGATCCTCTCACTGGCCATGAACTCACTGGTGTCCACACACGGTGGCGCCATGGAGAGGAGAGGAGAGGAGGGGCAGGGCAGGTGGGAGAGCAGAGGTGAGACCCATGGTAAGAATGTTCAGAACCCCAGCACCCTCACACCACTCCCAGCCCTTCCTCCCCATCCTGGGCCTCTGGGACACACAGGAAAGGAGGGAAGGGAGGGAGGGAGGGAGGGAGGGAGAAGTGGGGAGAGAAGAAGCGAGGGACTGCCAGTGAGGCTCTGGCACTAAGAGCAGGTGTGGGTCCTGACTGCCACCTGTGGCTCTGTGACCTTGGGCAAGTCACTCTCCTCCTCTGAAGCTCGGTTTCCTCTTCTGTAATGGAGCTAATGCTAGTACCTTCCTCATCTGGTCCCTGTGAGGACTCAGCAAGACATTACAAGCAAAACCCTTAGCGCCGTAACTGGCTTGTGGGAAACGCCCAGTAAATGTCGGCTCCTGCCATCGCTGTGGATGATTACTGACGTTTGTAACAACCCCCCAGGTCCAGACCCAGACCCAGCACTTTCCATACAGCGTCCTCTGGGTCATCATGGAAACCCATCACTGGTCCCTTACGGTACCCCTTTTACACTGGGAGAGGAAGGCTCCGAATGTTCAAGCGCTTGATCAAGGCCACAGGGAAAGCAGAGGTGGGGCCAGGTCCCGGCACACTTTCCTTCATCCCCAGTGTCAGACTCTGGTGCTCTCCATCCAGAAATGCAGATGCACAGGCTGGCCTCCTACCCACAGACCCGCAGTGTAGACAGACAGACACTCTTTAGTGTCCTCAGACATCTTGGCCCAAGGCATCGCTTTCTTAGCTAAAGAAAGTCTTACTTGTTGGCCAAAAGTTCCAGGACCCTTGTGTCAGTATTAACAAAAGTGCCCCCTGGCGGGGGAAGCGTGGGGGTGGGCCCTCTCTTCAGTCCCTTCCGTGGGTGGAAGTTGCTCCTGGAGGGAGGCGAGTGTCCACGCCTGAGGGACAGCTGTGTGCCTTGGCCCAGTAACACAGGGTTGTATGTTTTCTTCTATTGTAAAGAATGGAAATTGGGCAGATAATCAGACTAATGTTTCATACAACTTGTACGGTTCTCAGAAAATGCTTATGCCATAATGTTTATGAAGAAAATAAGATACAAATGTACATATGCAGTCTGGGTCTAAAAAAGCCTGGGAGAAAATATACCAACATATCAGCTGTGCTTCTCATTGTGGTGAGGGATTAGTGGTGATTTTTAATTTCTTCTTTAAACTTTTATCTATTTTAACTTTTAAAAAGGAGCACACATTACTTTAACCACCAGAAAAACAATGGCATTTTAAAGTAATGACAAAAAAGAGAAGGAGGATGTCATCCTTCTGCTGTCGGCAGTGTGGGCAGCCACTGACCTGAAATTCTGCACTAGGGCCTCCTTCTTGAGGGCCTTCCAGGCATCAACCAGGCCCTGCCAGCGGCAGCGGCTCTCGAGCTCCTGCTGTAGCGTGGCCTCCATCAGATTGACAAACAGCTGGGCGATGGCCCTCCGGTTGCCCAGCAGGGCGTGGTTTATGACCTGTGGTCACAGGCAGGCAGGCTTTAGATGAGATGGGAGCTCCCGGACATCAGAACAAGGTTCAGGTGGAGCGGGGCAGTGGGAGGCTGGAGAGGGCCCAGGTGAGGTGCGGGTCGAGGGCCTGGGGCCCAGCAGGGCCGTGGCCGAGCAGGGCAGTGACAGCATCTGAGGAGTACTAAGGGGTCATTGGGGCTCAGCAGCCACAGACAGTGACAAGTCTCTCCTAAAGGCTTAACCATAAACCCCGACCACGTGAGCTTCAGCTCAGCTCCACAGCCGCATCAGGTTGTTTGTTGGAGAAGGGGTTTGAGTTCCCTGGAGTTCAGCACTCTGGTGGGCTCTGAGGGTTTAACTGGGTTTTTTATTAAAAAATTTATTTTATTGAGTTTATAATAGTTTACATTGATATGAGATTTCAGTGGTACATTATTTCTTGACTGTCACCACATAAATGCTCCCCTTCACCCCCTGTGCCCACCCCCTATCCTCCAACCCCCTTCCCCTGGTAACCACTGAACCGTTTTCTTTGTCCATGTACTTGTTTATATTCCACATATGAGTGAAATCATCTGATGTTTGTCTTTCTCAGTCTGGCTTATTTCACTTAGCATAATTCCCTCTAGGTCCATCCATGTTATTGCAAATGGGATGAATTTGTCTTTTTTTCTGGCTGAGTAGTCTTCCATTGTATATATATACACCACATCTTCTTTATCTAATCATCAGTCAGTGGGCACTTGGATAGTTTCCATGTCTTGGCTATTGTGAATAGTGCTGCAATGAACATAGGGGTGCATATGTCACTTTGGATTGTTGATTTCAAGTTGTTCGGGTAAATACCCAGTAGTGGGATAGCTGGGTCTTATGGTAATTCTATTTTTAGTTTTTGTGGAATCTCCATACTGTTTTCCATAGTGGCTGCACCAGTTTGCATTCCCACCAGCAGCATGTGAGGGTTCCCTTCTCTCCACTCTCTCCAACATTTGTTATTTTTAGTCTTAGTGATTATAGCCATTTTAACAGGCATAAGGTGGTATCTTAGTGCAGTTTTGACTTGCATTTCCCTGATGATTAGTGATGTTGAACATCTTTTCATGTGTTTATTGGCCATCTGTATATCTTCTTTGGAAAAATGTCTGTTCATATCCTCTGCCCACTTTTTGATCAGGTTGTTTGCTTTCTTATTGTTCAGCTGTGTGAGTTCCTTATATGATATGGCGATTAACCCCTTGTCAAATATATGATTTGCAAATATTTTCTCCCAATTGGTAGGTTGTCTCTTTGTTTTGATCTAGTTTCTTCTGCCTTGCAGAAGCTCTTTAGTCTGATGAATTCCCACTTATTCATTTTTTCTTTTGTCTCCCTTGTCTGAGAGGCCATGTATTTGAAAAGATTCTTTTTAGTTCAATGTCAGAGTGTACTACCAATATTATCTTCCAGGAGTTTTATTGTTTCAGGACATATCTTCAAGTCTTTTATTCATTTTGAGTTTATTTTTGTGTATGGTGTGAGATAGCGGTCTACCTTCATTCTTTTGCATGTGGCTGTCCAGTTTTCCCAACACCATTTATTGAAGAGACTATCTTTTCTCCGCTGTATGTTCTTAGCACCTTTGTCGAAGATTAGCTGTCCGTAGGTGTGTGGTTTTATTTCTGGGCTTTCAGTTCTGTTCCATTGATCTGTGTGCCTGTTTTTTGTTTTCTTTTAAATTTTTATTGAGTTAATGATAGGTTACAATCTTGTGAAATTTCAGTTGTGCATTATTGTTTGTCAGTCGTGTTGTAAGTGCACCCCTTCACCCTTTGTGCCTACTCCCCACCCCATCTTTCCCCTGGTAGGCACTAATCTGTTCTCTTTGTCTGCATTTTTAAATTCTTCATATGAGTGGAGTCATACAGAGATTGTCCCTCTATGTCTGACTTATTTCACTTAACATAATTCCCTCAAGGTCCATCCATGTTGTTGCAAATGGGACGATTTTGTTCTGTTTTATGGCTGAGTAGTATTCCATTGTATATATATATCACATCTTCTTTATCCAATCATCCATTGATGGGCACTTAGGTTGCTTCCACATGTTGGGTATTGTAAATAATGCTGCAATGAACATTGGGGTGCATAGGACTTTTGGAATTGCTGACTTCAAGCTCTTTGGGTAGATACCCAGTAGTAGGATAGCTGGGTTGTATGGTAGTTCTATTTTTAACTTTTTGAGGAATCTCCATACTGTTTTCCATAGTGGCTGCACCAGTTTGCATTCCCACCAGCAGTGGATGAGGGTTCCTTTTTCTCCACAACCTCTCCAACATTTGTTACTATTAGTTTTAGATATTTTTGTCATTCTAATTGGTGTAAGGTGATATCTTAGTGTGGTTATGATTTGCATTTCCCTGATGATCAGTGATGATGAACATCTTTTCATGTGCCTATTGGCCATCCGTATATCTTCTTTTGAGAAATGTCTGTTCATGTCTCCTGCCCATTTTTTGATTGAGTTGTTTGATTTTTTTGTTGTTGAGTTGCGTGAGTTCTTTATATATTATGGATATTAAGCCTTTGTCAGATGTATGACTTGCAAATATTTTTTCCCAGTTAGTGGGTTGTGTTTTTGTTTCAACCCTGTTTTCATTTGCCTTGAAGAAGCTCTTTAGTCTGATGAAGTCCCATTTGTTTATTCTTTCTATTGCTTCCCTTGTCTGAGAAGACATGGTGTCCGAAAATATCCTTTTAATATTGATGTCAAAGAGTGTACTGCCTACGTTTTCTTCTAGAAGCCTTATGGTTTCAGGTCTCAGCTTTAGGTCTTTGATCCATTTTGAGTTTATTTTGGTGAATGGTGAGAAAGAATGGTCAATTTTCATTCTTTTACATGTGGCTTTCCAGTTTTCCCAGCACCATTTGTTGAAAAGACTTTCTTTTCTCCATTGTATGCCCTCAGCTCCTTTGTCAAAGATTAGCTGTCCATAGATGTGTGGTTTTATTTCTGGGCTTTCAATTCTGTTCCATTGATCTGTGTGCCTGTTTTTGTATCAGTACCATGCCGTTTTGGTCACTATGGCTTTGTAGTACATTTTGAAGTCAGGGATTGTGATACCTCCAACTTTGTTCTTTTTTCTCAGGACTGCCTTAGCAATTCAGGGTCTTTGGTTTCCCCACATGAATGTTAGGATTCTTTGCTCTATTTCTGTGAAGAATGTCATTCGGATTCTGATAGAGATTGCATTGAATCTGTAGATTGCTTTGGGTAGTATGGACATTTTAACTATGTTTATTTTTCCAATCCAGACGCAAGGAATCTCTTCCCATTTCTTTAATTATCAATTTCTCTCAGTAATGTCTTATAGTTTTCTTTGTATAAGTCCTTCATCTCCTTGGTTAAATTTAGTCCTAGGTACTTTATTCTTTTAGTTGCAATTGTAAATGGAATTGTATTCTTAAGTTCTCTTCCTGTGAGTTCATTATTAGAGTATAGAAAAGCAACTGATTTTTGTAAGTTGATTCTGCACTCTGAAACTTTACTGTAGTTGTTAATTATTTCTATTAGTTTTCCGATGGATTTTTTGGGGTTTTCTATATGTAAGATCATGTCATCTGCAAACAGCAAGAGCTTCACTTCTTCACTCCCTATTTGGATTCCTTTTATTCCTTTCTCTTGCCTAATTGCTCTGGCCAAAACCTCCAGTACGATATTGAATAAGAGTGGTGATAGTGGGCATCCTTGTCTTGTTCCTGTTCTCAGGGGGATGGTGCTCAGTTTTTGCCCATTGAGTATGATGTTGGATGTGGGTTTGTCATATATGGCCTTTATTATGTTGAGGTAGCTCCCTTCTATCCCCATTTTGTTAAGAGTTTTTATCATAAATAGCTGTTGGATCTTGTCAACTGCTTCCTCTGCATCTATTGAGATGATCATGTGGTTTTTATTCCTCAATTTGTTGATGTGGTGTATCACGTTTATTGATTTGCGGAAGTTGAACCATCCCTGTGTCCCTGGTATGAATCCCACTTGATTGTAATGTATGATCCTTTTGATGTATTGCTAAATTCTGGTTGCCAAAATTTTGTTGAGAATTTTTGCATCTACGTTCATCAGCAATATTGGCCTGTAGTTCTCCTTTTTCGTGCTGTCCTTGTCAGGCTTTGGTATCAGTGTTGGCCTTGTAGAATGTGTTAGGAAGTGTTCCATCCTCCCTAATTTTTTGGAATCGTTTGAAAAGGATAGGTATTAAATCCTCTCTGAAAGTTTGGTAGAATTCCCCAGGAAAGCCATCTAGCCCTGGGGTTTTATTCTTTGGGATGCTTTTGATTGCTGTTTCAATCTCTTTCCTTGTGATTGGTCTATTCAGATTGTCTGCTTCTTCTTGACTCAGCTTTGGGAGGTTGTAAGAGTCTAAGAATTTATCCATTCCCTCTACATTATCTGTTTTGTTGGCGTATAGTTTTTCTTAGTATTCTCTTATGATCCATTGTATTTCTGTGGAGTCTGTTGTTATTTCTCCTCTTTCATTTCTAATATTATTTATTTGAGCTTTCTCTCTTCTTTTCTTTGTAAGTCTTGCTAGGGGGTTTTCAATTTTATTTGTCTTCTCAAAGAACCAGCTCTTTGTTTCTTTGATCCTTTCTAGTGCCTTTTTTGTTTCAATAGGATTTATTTCTGCTCTGATTTTTATTATTTCTCTCCTTCTGCTGACTTGGGCTTTGTTTGTTCTTCTTTTTCTAATTCAGTTAGGTGTAATTTGAGATTGCTTATTTGGGACTTTTCTTGTTTGTTAAAGTGTGCCTATATTGCGATGAATTTCCCTCTTAATATGGCTTTTGCTGCATCCCATATGAGTTGGTATGGTATGTTATCATTTTCATTTGTTTCCAGATAGTTTTTGATTTCCCCTTTAATTTCTTCAATGATCCATTGCTTGTTCAATAGCGTATTGTTTAGTCTCCACATCTTTGTCTCTTTCTCAGCTTTTTTCTTGTAATGAATTTCTAGCTTTATAACATTATGATCAGAAAAGATGCTTGTTATTATTTCAATTTTTTAAAATTTATAGAGGCTTGCCTTGTTTCTGAACATATGATCTATCCTTGAGAATGTTCCATGCGCACTTGAGAAGAATGTGTATCCTGCTGTTTTTGGATGGAGTACTCTATATATGTGTATTAAGTCCAACTGGTTTAGCTTTCCATTTAATTCCACTGTTTCCTTGTTGATTTTCTGTCTGTATGATCTATCCATTGATATGAGTGGAGTATTGAGGTCCCCTACTATTATTGTGTCATTATTAATATCTTCTTTTAGGTTTGTTAATAGTTGCTTTATGAAATTTGGTCCTCCTCTGTTGGGTGCATAGATATTTATAAGTGTTATTGCTTCTTGGTGGAGTGTCCCTGTGATCATTATATACTGCCCCTCTTTGTCTCTCTTTAATTGCCTTATCTTGAAGTCTCTTTTGTCTGATATAAGTATTGCAACACCTGCTTTCTTTTGTTTGCAATTAGCTTGAAGTATCATCTTCCATCCCTTCACTGTGAGCCTGTGTTTGTCATTGGAGTTGAGATGTGTTTCCTGAAGGCAGAAAATTGTTGGATTTCCTTCCCTTTAGCCTAATGCTATAGTTGAATATCTGCTATCCTATTCTGATTCTGTCTATCTATTTATCTCCTTACTCTGTGTTTTGTGACCCCTTTCTACCTTTTTTTCTTTTTTCATGTATGAGGGCCTTCTTGAGGATTTCTTGTAGGCGGGGTCTTGTGGCTATGAATTCCCTTAGCTTTTGTTTGTCTGGGAAAGATTTAATTTCTCCCTCATATCTGAAGGATATTTTTGCTGGATAGAGTATTCTTGGCTGAAGATTTTTATCTTTTAAAGTTTTGAACACGTCATTCCATTCTCTCCTAGCTTGTAAGGTTTCTGCAGAGAAATCTGCTGAAAGCCTGATAGAGGTTCCTTCGTAGGTTATTTTCTTCTGCCTTGCTACGCTGAGTATTCTTGCTTTGTCATTCATTTTTGCCAGTTTTACTACTATGTGCCTTGCAGTAGGTCTTTTTACATTGACATATCTAGGAGATCTGGAAGCTTCCTCCACACATATTTCCTTCTCTTTCCCTAGGTTTGGCAAGTTCTCTGCTATTATTTCTTTGAACATGCTTTCTGCTCCATTCTCCTTCTCTTCAGCTTCTTGAATACCTATAATTCTTATGTTGCATTTCCTCATTGAGTAGGATATTTCTTGGAGACTTCCTTCATTTCTTTTTAGTCTTAGTTCTCTCTCCTTCTCTGTCTGGAGCATTTCAACATGTCCATCTTCAATTATGCTGATTTGCTCCTCTGTGATGTCTGCACGAGCATTCAGGGAATCCATATTTTGTTTTATCTCTTCCATTGTGTCTTTCATCTCTAATATTTCTGATTGATTCTTCTTTATAATTTTGTGAAGTACCTCCTGAATTCTCTGAATTGTTTCTCTATATTCTCTTTTACCTCATTGAGTTCTTTTTTTTTTCTGACGAAGATTAGCCCTGAGCTAACATCTGCTGCCAATCCTCCTCTTTTTGCTGAGGAAGACTGGCCTTGAGCTAACATCCATGCCCATCTTCCTCTACTTTATACGTAGGATGCCTACCACAGCATGGCTTGCCATGCAGTGCCATGTCCGCACCTGGGATCTGATCCAACAAACCCTGGGCTGCCAAAGCAGAACATGCGAACTTAACCGCTGCGCCACCAGGCCAGCCCCTCATTGAGTTTTTGATGATAGCTATTTTGAATTCATTGTTGTTTAGCTTACATATTTCTGTGTCTTCAGGACTGAGTTCTGGGTGCTTGTCATTTTCTCTCTGGTCTGGAGATTTGATGTAGTGTCTGATGTTGGAAAGTCAGCTCGTCCTCATTCTGATATTGTTCGATTGCAGTTACAGCCTATCACCACTGGGTGGGGGTTGAGAGCCACATATTCCGAGCCCTCTGCCTTCAGCCAGTATGGCAAGGAGCGGGTCGGGGGAGGGGCACTTTCTCCTGTGCACAGTCTAGGGTTTTTCGATCAGTTCTCTCTATCTGGTCTCCTGGGGTCTTGGCTTGATGAGGTCACCCCGCATGAAAGCTTTCGCCTCATTAGAGGTCTTCCCTCTAGGCTGCAAGGGCCCATGGGAGTCCTGGATGATCCCACAGATGCGTGACCCCTCCCCTGCTCCTTCCCTCATGGATCCTCCCACGGCAGTGACCACAGACTTTAGGTGAGGGAGCGAAGTTCTCTCTTACCCTGTTCCAGCTCCTCTGAGCGGGGCTCCAGCCTCTCTGCCCTCTGTTGTGTGGCTGCATGTATCTCCAAGGTTTTTGTGTTGTTAGGATATTTTCTGTTGAAGTATGGTTGCTCCTTTTTTGTTGCATGTCAGAGGGGAGAGAGTCCCGGGCAAGTTCACTCTGCCATGATGCTGACATCATGCTAACTGTTTTTTTAATATATATAAATTTGTTCCAAAAGCAGGGTGCTCATGCTGTCAGGGACCAGCCACATATGGTTGTGATGAGAACTGGGACCCAATTACCAAATGAGGTCAGAGCTAGAACTTTCTTTGGCTGTCCTCCCAGTGGTCCTCTCCTGGGCACGACTGGCATGGCTGTGAGGGGGCATTGGCAAGTATTTCCTGAACCTCCAATTCTGCAGCCATAAGACGAAGACAATGCTGTTTACAGCAGATGGATTTTGTGAAATGAAATGAGATAAAGGCACATGGAGCAAGTAGCAAGTGCCAGTTGTCACAACAGGTGAAATAAGCATAGGAACATCAACCAACCACTCATAACAGGACACCGACTAACTCTGGTCCCTGAGTGGATCAAATGGATAAAAGTCAGTGACTCTAGCTTGTCTCAAGCTTATAGCTCCCACTGCTGAGCCCTCTTTTGTCATCCTCCCAACAAGTCCTGGCCCCTAAGTATCATCGTCTCCACTTCAGGGACAGGGAGCTCCAGGTGCAGGGCTGAGTTAGCTCAGGAGGCTTCCTCTCTGGGCAGAGAAGAGGGAGTCTGTGCTCACTCCCTGTCCGTGCTCTGTCCAGGAGCCCAAGGCACACACCTGGGCTGGAGCCCAGCTGTGGTGCTGAACACGGGACCCACTTTCACTCCATGTGCTGCCAGGAGGCCCACAGTCTGACAAGCCCAACTTTCCACACAGGACCTGGAAGTCCATGCAAGCAAAACGTGCCTCTGAGGAGCCAAAGAAGCATCCTTTCATGCAACAGAGGAGTCAGGCTTAACTCTGACTTTGGAGACATCACAAACAACCTTGAATTTCTTGGTTTTTATCCCAAAGAAAGCAGCTGGGGGAGGCTGGGGTGTGGACAGGGAAGTAGTAGGGACAGAGCTAAGGGGCAGGCATGGTTCAGCAACAGGTACTGACAGGCAGCAGGAGCAGAGACAAGAACGACCAGAAAAATAGACAAACAGACCAGGCGGGGCTCACTTAGGAGGGCGCAAACTGCCCTGAGTCCACGACAGCTGCAAGACGATGCAGGTGGAAAGCTCATCATTCCTGAGTCACCAGGCTCTGGGGTGTCTTGGGGTCCAGGCTCCCTCTCCCGTGGGCTGATCCACTGCATATGAAAACTACTCACCATGGCTTCTTTATTTATCAGCCTGTACACATCGGACTGCATGAGACAGGAAGTTTTCTCTATGATTTCCACGTATTTCTTCAACACGCTTTTTAGCTAGAAATAAGAGGGCACCGTAGTGAGTGACTCACTCTTTTCCTGGAAAACTAAAAGGAGACACATGAGGCCTCACAAATCGCACAAGTGAAAATCACCAACAGCCCATCTGCAGGCCGACTTGCCTTGCCTGCTCGGGAGAACTCAAGTGAGAGCAGGGTCTCATCCAGCTTCTTAATCCCCTGCTTCTGGAGGAGGAACTTCTCGGCCACCTGATCCCACAGCTCCAACAGGGTCTGTGTGAGAAGCCTGGGTCAGGCTGGGAGAACGGATGGCAGGGAGAGAAGGAGCAGGACCCGGTGGGGCAGGCCTGGCCACGAGGGGCCCCTACTTGGATGGTGTAGTCTTCGAGGTTGTCGTCATTTTCCACCTTTCTGAAGAGACTGTTGATGTCTTTGTCAGATTCGGCCAGCTGTTTAAGAAGAAGTGCTCCTGGCTCCAAGATGAGAGGTTCCATTTCCTAAAACAGGCCAGGAGGGCGACAGCTATGGTATGAACACTGCTGGGGCAGGAGGGAGCCCCCCTGTATGAGGAAGTGCCAGTGTGGTCCTGTCTCAGAAATAATAAACATTATTATTTAAGATTTACTAATTAGAAGGGATGGTGCAGGAGCAAAACGGCGGGGTGAGCTGACCCGTGACTCTCTCCCCTCCAAACTACAAGAAAGGATTGGAAAAACTGAATTTCAGCCAATAATCCTAATGCCAGACTGTCAGAAAACTACAGAAACAAGACCATGGAGGATGGAGAGGCTGCAGCCAGCCTCGGAGGAGCTGGAACAGGGTAAGAGAGAACTTCGCTCCCTCCCCTAGAGACTGGGATTGCTGCCACAGGTGAGGGAAGGAGCTGGGGAGGGGCTGCATGACCCGGGGATCATCTAGGACTCCTGCCGGCGGTGCAGTGGAAACCCGCTGATGAGGGAAAGCTTCCATGTGCGGGGACCCCATCAAGCCAGGGCCCCAGGAGACCAGAGAGCGAGAGCTGATCGGAATCCAGATCGGCATGTGAGAGAAACTGCCCCTCCTCCCCAACCCGTGCTGGGTGCCGCCATCTTGCCTGAAGGTGGAGAGCTCAGAACGCGTGGCTCTCGACCCCCATCTAGTGGCGACAGGCTGTAGCTGCAACCGAATACTACCATCATGCGCAAAAACCGCTCCTCTACCATGCAGCAATTTATAAAAGCTCCAGGCCAGAAAGAAAACAATAAAAACACAGAATTAAGTCCTGAGGACTTGGAAATGGGTAAACTAAGTGAAAATGAGTTCAGAGTATCTATCATCAAAAAACTCAGTGAGGTAGAGGGAAAGATAGAGAAACAAGTCAATGAGTGCTGGAGTTACTTCATAAAAGAGATTGAAATTATAACGAAGAATCAATCAGAAATACTAGAGATGAAAAATACAATGGGCCAGATAAAACAGAATGTGGATTCCCTGAATGCCTGTGTAGACACCATAGAGGAGCAAATTAGCATAATCGAAGATAGACAGGCTGCATGGCTCCAGACAGAGGAAGAAACATAACTAAGGATTAAAAAGAATGAGGAAAATATCAGAGAAATAGCGGATTCAATGAGGAAAAAGAATTTAAGGATCATAGGAATTCCTGAGAACGTGGAAAAGGAAAATGGAGCAGAAAGTGTGCTTAATGAAATTATAGAAGAGAACTTCCCAAATCTAGGGACTGAGGGAGAAATGTGTGTGGAGGAAGCTTTCAGATCTCCTAGATCTGTCAATGTAAAAAGACCTGCTGCAAGGCCTATAGTAGTAAAAATGGCAAAAATGAAACACAAAGAAAGAATACTCAGGGCAGCAAGACAGAAGAAAATAACCTACAAAGGAACTCCTATCAGACTTTCAGCAGATTTCTCTACAGAAACCTTACAAGCTAGGAGAGAATGGAGTGACATATTCAAAACTTTAAAAGATAAAAATCTTCAGCCAAGAATACTCTATCCAGCAAAAATATCTTTCAGATATGAGGGAGAAATTAAATCTTTTCCAGACAAGCAAAAGTTAAGGGAATTTGTAACCGAAAGTCCTCCACTACAAGAAATCCTCAAGAAGGCTCTCATACCTGAAAAAAGAAAAAAAGGGAGAAAGGGGTCACAAACCACAGAGTAGGGAGACAGATAGATAGAACCAGATTAGGATAGCAAATATTCAACTATAGCATTAGGACAAAGGTAAGGAAACCACCAAAGTAAAGACGATCTTATCACTCTAACTACAAACACATAACACGAGTTGGAATAAGAGATGAAAATAATAATTTAGGAGGGGAAGAGCAAAGGGACTAAATCAGTCTAGGCCAAGTAAGTAAGAGACGACCAGAGAATAGACTATATTATACACGAGACTCTAAATACAAATTTCAGGGTAGCCACTAAACTAAAAAACAGAACAGAGCCACAAAATATAAATAAGGAAAAATCTAAGAAACTCAGCATAAGAAATTGCAGAAGTCCATGGGTAGGCTAAAACACACAGGACGAGAAACAAAGATAATGCAGAAAAACCAGATAACGAGCGACAGAATGACAGCATTTAGCCAACATGTATCAATAATCACCCTCAATGTAAACGGATTGAACTCTCCAATAAAAAGACAAAGAGTGGCAAAATGGATTAAAGAACAAGACTCAACAATTTGTTGCCTCCAGGAAACACACCTAAGCCCCAAGGACAAACACAGGCTCAGAGTGAAGGGGTGGAAGACAATATTTCAAGCTAATAGAAAGCAAAAGAAAGAAGGTGTTGCAGTACTTATATCAGACAAAACGGATTTCAAAATAAGGCAGGTAAAGAGAGACACAGAGGGACAATATATAATGATCAAAGGGACACTTCATCAAGAAGAAATAGTGCTTATAAATATCTATGCACCCAACACAGGAGCACCAAAGTTCATAAAGCAACTATTAACAGACCTAAAGGAAGATGTTAGAAACAACATAATAATAGTAGGGGACCTCAACACTCCATTCACATCTAGGGACAGATCATCCAGACAGAAAATCAACAAGGAAATAGTGGAGCTAAACGAAAACTAAAACAGTTGGACTTAATAGACATATATAGAACACTTGATCCAAAAACAGCAGAATACACATTCTTCTCAAGCATGCATGGAACATTCTCAAGGATAGACCATATGTTAGGAAACAAGGCAAGCCTCTACAAATTTTTAAAAATTGAAATAATAACAAGCATCTTCTCCAATCATAATGCTATAAGGCTAGAAATTAATTACAAGAAAAAAGCTTAGACAGGCACAAAGATGTGGAGACTAAACAATACGCTACTGAACAAGCAATGGATCATTGAATAAATTAAAGGAGAAATCAAAAAATACCTGGAGACAAATGAAAATGATAACATGCCATACTAACTCATATGGGATACAACAAAAGCTGTATTAAGAGGAAAATTCATCACAATACAGACACATCATAACAAACAAGAAAAATCCCAAATAAGCAATCTTAAACTACACCTAACCGAATTAGAGAAAGAAGAACAAACAAAGCCCAAAGTCAGCAGAAGGAGAGAAATAATAAAAATCAGAGCAGAAATAAATGTGACTGAAATGAAAAAGGCAGTAGAAAGGATCAATGAAACCAAGAGCTGGTTCTTTGAGAAGATAAATAAAATTGACAAACCACTAGCCAGACTTACAAAGAAAAAAAAGGAGAAAGCTCAAATAAACAAAATCAGAAATGAAAGAGGAGAAATAACAGACTCTGCAGAAATAAAACGGATTATAAGAGAATACGACAAAAAATCACATGCCAACAAAATGCATAACCTACAGGAAATGGATAAATTCTCGGACTCCTACAATCTCCCAAAGCTCACTCAAGAAGAAGCAAACAATTTGAACTGACCAATCACAAGGAAAGGGATTGAAAGAGCAATCAAAAACATCCCAAAGAATAAAACCCCAGGACCAGATGGCTTTCCCGGGGAATTCTACCAAACTTTCAGAGAGGATTTAATATCTATACTTTTCAAGCTATTCCAAAAAAATTAGGGAGGATGGAACACTTCCTAACACATTCTACAAGGCCAACATCACTCTGATACCAAAGCCTGACAAGGACACCATGAAAAAAGAGAACTATAGGCCAATATCACTGATGAACATAGATGCAAAAATTCTAAACAAAATTTTGGCAACCAGAATTCAGCAATTCATCAAAAGGATCATACATTATGATCAAGTGAGATTCATACCAGGGACACAGGGATGGTTCAACTTCCGCAAATCAATAAACGTGATACACCACATCAACAAACTGAGGAATAAAAACCACGTGATCATCTCAAAAGATGCAGAGAAAGCATTTGACAAGATTCAACAGCCATTTATAATAAAAACTGAACAAAATGGGGATAGAAGGGAGCTACCTCAACATAATAAAGGCCATATATGACAAACCCACAGCCAACATCATACTAATAGCCAAAAACTGAGTGCCATCCCCCTGAAATCAGGAATGAGACAAGGATGCCCTCTATCATGACTCTTATTTAACATAGTACTGGAGGTCCTGGCCAGAGCAATCAGGCAAGAAAAAGGAATAAAAGGAATCCAAATAGGGAGGGAAGAAGTGAAACTCTCGCTGTTTGCAGACGACATGATCTTATATATAGAACACCCCAAAGAATCCATTGGAAAACTCTTAGAAGTAATCAATAACTACAGCAAAGTTGCAGGGTATAAAATTAATTTGCATAAATCAGTAGCATTTCTATATTCTCATAACGAACTAACAGAAAAAGAACTCAAGAACACAATACCATTCACAATCGCTACAAAAAGAATAAAATACCTCAGGGTGAATTTAACTAAGGAAGTGAAAGACCTATAGAATGAAAATTACAAGGCCTTTCTGAGAGAATTGGACGATGACATAAGGAGATAGAAAGACATTCCATGTACATGGATTGGAAGAATAAACAGTTAAAATGTCCGTTCTACCTAAAGCAATTTACAGATTCACTGCTATCCCAATCAGAATCTGACTGACATTCTTTACAGAATTAGAACAAAGAATCCTAAAATTCATATGGAGCAACAAAAGACCCCGAATTGCTAAAGCAATCCTGAGAAAAAAGAACAAAATGGGAGGCATCACAATCCCTGACTTCAAAACATACTACAAAGCTACAGTAATCAAAACAGCATGGTACTGGTACAATAACAGGCACACAGATCAATGGAACAGAATTGAAAGCCCAGAAATAAAACCACACATCTATGGACAGCTAATCTTTGACAAAGGAGCTGAGGGCATACAATGGAGAAAAGAAAGTCTTTTCAACAAATGGTGCTGGGAAAACTGGAAAGCCACATGTAAAAGAATGAAAATTGACCATTCTTTCTCACCATTCACCAAAATAAACTCAAAATGGATCAAAGACCTAAAGCTGAGACCTGAAACCATAAGGCTTCTAGAAGAAAACGTAGGCAGTACACTCTTTGACATCAATATTAAAAGGATATTTTCGGACACCATGTCTTCTCAGACAAGGGAAGCAATAGAAAGAATAAACAAATGGGACTTCATCAGACTAAAGAGCTTCTTCAAGGCAAATGAAAACAGGGTTGAAACAAAAACACAACCCACTAACTGGGAAAAAATATTTGCAAGTCATACATCTGACAAAGGCTTAATATCCATAATATATAAAGAACTCACGCAACTCAACAACAAAAAAATCAAACAACTCAATCAAAAAATGGGCAGGAGACATGAACAGACATTTCTCAAAAGAAGATATACGGATGGCCAATAGGCACATGAAAAGATGTTCATCATCGCTGATCATCAGGGAAATGCAAATCATAACCACACTAAGATATCACCTTACACCAATTAGAATGACAAAAATATCTAAAACTAATAGTAACAAATGTTGGAGAGGTTGTGGAGAAAAAGGAACCCTCATCCACTGCTGGTGGGAATGCAAACTGGTGCAGCCACTATGGAAAACAGTATGGAGATTCCCCAAAAAGTTAAAAATAGAACTACCATACAACCCAGCTATCCTACTACTGGGTATCTACCCCAAGAGCTTGAAGTCAGCAATTCCAAAAGTCTCATGCACTCCTATGTTCATTGCAGCATTATTCACAATAGCCAAGACATGGAAGCAACCTAAGTGCCCATCAACAGATGATTGGATAAAGAAGACGTGGTATGTATATATATATATATACAATGGAATACTACTCAGCCATAAAACAGAGCAAAATCGTCCCATTTGCAACAACATGGATGGACCTTGAGGGAATTATGTTAAGTGAAATAAGCCAGCAAGAGAAAGATAATCTGTGTATGACTCCACTCATATGAGGAATTTAAAACTATGGACCAAGAACAGTTTAGTGGATACCAGGGGAAAGGTGGGGTGAGGGGTGGGCACAAAGGGTGAAGTGGTGAACCTACAAGATGACTGACAAACATTAATGTACAATTGAAATTTCACAAGATTGTAACCTATCAATAACTCAATAAAAAAAAATTGGAAAAAAAAATGTAGACAAAGAGAACAGATTAGTGGCTACCAGGGGAAAGTGGGGGTGGGGGATAGGCACAAAGGGTAAAGGGGTGCACCTACAACACAACTGACGAACAAGAATGTACAACTGAAATTTCACAATATTGTAACCTATCATTAACTCAATAAAAAAAAAAAAGATTTACTAATTAGTTCACAACTGGAGCACACAGGCAGCCACCACTTTGGGCACATGCCATGCGCTGGGCGCTCGGCTCTCTGCTGAGCCTCGTCCTCAGACGCACTAGGTCCTCATCACAGCCTGTGATGTAGGTGCTGACATTAGGCCTGGCCCAAGGTTGGGGCTCCACAAATATTCGTTAAAGAAGTGGCCAATGAAAGAATTCCAAGTTTACTTCAGAAGAGGAGACGGAGGCTCTGTTAGGCTGTGTGACCAAAGCCACAGAGCTCATGGGGGAAAGCAGAGCGCACGTCCAGCTGGGAGGGCTTGGGACAGTGAGAGCTGGCAGGGGGTGCCTCCTTGGTGCTGTGAGTCCAGAGCCAGCTCCAGGAATCTAGGGGAACAACGTGAGTCAGAGAAGACCCTGGAGAAAGCCATGAGTGCAAGCTGGGGCTAAGGGAGGACCCAGAAGGTCAAAGAAGGGTCTCATTTAGGGACATTCCAGGGACCAGTGGGGTTGGAGATGAGGTCTCTGGAGAGAAACAGGGAGCCAAGTGAGGGTGGTGCCTCAGGGCCAGGCCGTTTGGCCCCTCACGAGTAGGACTGAGCAGGGAGATCAGAGGCTGGGCTTTGGCATCACACCCAGAGCCCAGCTCCCACTTGGCCCCTTATGTGCCAAGTCAGGCGAGACTTTCTCGGCCTCACCTGTAAAATGGGGGTGGTAACAGGGCTATGCTCCTAACAGGCACTCATAACAAGCCACCCAAACATGGCTACGACGGTTCTGTCTACACCCTGGTGAGCCACTGGACCTCCAGTGCAGTGATGAGCCCACCTTCAGAATGGCCCAGGAACAGAAGGGGAGAGAGGAGGAGGATTCTCACCATGCCAATCTGAGCGATCTCCTCCTTGAAGCTCCCCACAGTGCTCTGCCAGCCCTTCCTCTTATGGTCTCTTCGCCCCTGAAGGGTGATGGCGCTGGTCCTCTCAGGAACTGGGGGAGAACAACAGAGGTGAGGAGGGTGTCCTCGAGCTCCAGGGCGACAGGGGAGCCCCTGGGAAAAGGCAGAACAGGCAGAAAGTGCCTTGGTTCAGGAGATGGACCCCCAAAGCGGGCCAGCAGTGTCAGGGGCTTAAGGAAAAAGAGAAAAGATGAAGGTGATGCATAAATGCCATAGGGAACGAAGTCTCACATATACAGTTAAATGCTGGAAAAAGGTTCCGAAATGCTAATGTATAGAATGGGACCATTTATGGTTTTTTAAGTTTTGTAGAAGCAAATACCTGCGCAAATAAGAATAACCAACCCTCACACAGCACTGACCGTGTACCAGGTGCTGTTCTAGCTCCATCCCTCCTCAGGATGGGCCCGGAGGCAGCTTCTGTGCTCAGGCCCTTTTTACAAGTGAGGACACTCAGGCATGGGGCCTGAGGAGCAAAGGCAGTCAGCGGCTGAGAGGGCTGTGGACGTGGGCCCTCTGCTCCAGGGTCTGTGATCTCTCCCTGTGCTCTGACGTCCCCTGAATCTCTGTGAGAAGCTGGGGCGGGGGGACACTCCAGGGAGGAGAAGGGGTGCTATTGTTGAGGGGAGTTATCACTTTCTGCTTATCTCCTAACGTGATTTCTTTATGTGAGCATGTTCTACTTTATTAACATAAAGAAAAAGAGCGTCTGTACTAGGATGAAGAAAAATGAGGACAATGTAACAGAGAGGAAGAAAATATACACTGAGAAATCCTCTATCCTTTATCAACCGGTGTTCCTGAGTAAATGCCAACTGTGCAGTTAGCCCCTTCCTCCTCCTCCAGCAACAGGCACTGAAAAGAAAACTGTGGGGAGAAGGCATAGGGGAAAAGGCCAATGGGAGAAGGCCGAGGGGAGAAGGTTCACGGGAGAAGGCCAAGGGAAGAGGGCCAGGGGAGAAGATCCAGGGGAGAAGTTTCATGGGAGAAGACCAAGGGGACAATGCTGAGGGGATAAGGCTGAAAGGAGAAGTTCCAGGGGAGAAGGCCGAGGGGAGAAGGCCAAGTGGAGAAGGTCCAGGGGAGAAGGTCCCGCGGATTAGATCCAGGGGAGAAGGACAAGGCGAGAAGGCCGATGGGCCAAAGCTGAGCGAGAAAGCCGAGGGGAGAAGGCTCCATGGTGAAGGCTGAGGGGAAGCGCAGGGGAGAAGGTCCCAGGGAGATGTCCTGGCAAAAAGGGTGAGTGGATAAGGCCAAGGGGAGAGGGTCCCCTATGTGGCTGAGCATAGGGACACAGTGGGAGCCTCAGCTGCTCCTACATCAGACCTCCCAGATTGTGTCCCCAGGGCTCAGTTTCTGGCCCAGCCCAGGCCTGCCCTCATGGCTGAATGGAGGCTCACCGATGGCATCCATGAGGCCCCGGACTTCTCGGGCAGCAATGGTGCTCTCACTCTCTAGAGATTTTTCCTTCTTGGTTTTTTCCTTTTCCCTGAGGCACACACAGAGGAAAACAATAAACCTCCAGCCCCCTCACTCCCCCAGGGCAGCTCTGGCACAGGAGGAGTCTCCAGAGGGACCCTGGGCATTGGCAATAGCCCGGCCCACCTGATTCCCGAGAGCCCCCAGGCTATGGCTGTCTCTCAACCAACACTGCCCAGGTGTCTGGTGCCAGCAGATACTATGGTCCCTAGAGGAGAACCCGGGGCTGCCTCAGGGAGCTTGCTTCTGCTCTGGCGGCAAACCAAGTGTGGATGTGAGCAGGAGCCATTTTCCCCATGTGGAAACTGAGGACCAGAAGGGGCGTGAGCAGCCCGGGAAAGCCAGACCAGTGCTAAGCATTCGGTATGCTCTTTATTTGCTCCTTCAGCCACCCATCCTATGAGGCAGCTGGGGTCACCCCATTGTCTAGGACAGGGGAAGGGGGCTTGGAGAAGTCACAGTACAAAGCAGAGTAGGGCCTCCCAGACCCACACGTGATGCCAAGGTGCACGGTCCATGGGGTTTGGGTGTGGGAGGAGAGAGATCCCAAACTATCTCAGCAGGGAGGACCAGGGTGGGTGAGCATGAGCGTAGCTTTGGAGGAAAAAATCCCTGAATGCACCATCTGCAGAGCAAGCACCGCAGAAACGCAGCAGTTCTCAGGGACGCCTGCCATTCCTGGGGGCCCCCGGGCGCGCAGCCCTTTCCAGACATGTTCTTATGTAGTGCTCGCTGCAGACCTGGCAGCGAGGAAGACCGCAGGGCCCGGGCTGCAGTTGATGGGCCCGGGCTGGCTCTCCAGACATGGGGCTTCAGCCTTGTCAACCAAATGTCCCTGGACTAAGAGGCAGTCCCACTGGAACCCAGGTGCCCGGACCACAGGAGCTGCTGTCGGCTCTGGCTTCTCGGCCACTTGCTCTGGGGACATGGGGACTTGGCTTATGCTAGTGGTGATCCATCCCTGCCCTGGGCTCCTCTTCCTCCACCCAGAGGCCCTGCCCTGCTTGAATTAATGCGCAAGTTGACTGCCTTTGGCTGGCCAAGTTCAAGAGGGGACAAGGTACCCCAGAGAGACACCGATGCTGATTAGTGACCTTAGTCATTTTGAGGGTGGCAGGGCCTGGCAGGTTACAAACACATCTCTGTTCCTGCCACAGGCCATAGGGAGCTATGTTCTGGATCTGTGTCCAGCACAGAGCTGGCCTTGTCTGTCTGTCCCAGGAAGCCAGCACAGCACAATGCCAGAACCTTCCATGAGAAGTGCCTTTCCCAAAACACTGTGCTGTGCGTGCCAAGAGCTCCTGGCTGATGCTGTCTCAGATGCTAAACCCTGGGGAAGAGGGGACCCTCGGGAGGCACAGGGAGATGTCGGGGGACCAGGGGCCTGAATGAGAACAGGTCAGCTGAGAGGAGGCTGGGACTCTTGTGGGAGCCAGAGCCACAGCCAGGCTGTGAGACCGTCCTCCTGGGCGGTGGGGTGGCATGGACAGGCCCCAGCTGCCCTTGGATCCCTGCATCGGGCATCAGGGACATGGACTGGAGAACGCTGACCTCCAGTCTGGGCTAGGGTGGCCAGTGGGTTTTCCCACCTGTAGGTAGTTAAGGGCACTGAAGGTCAGAGTCTCAGGGGAGCTTTCCCTGGGAAAAGTCAAAGGGCAGGGCAGGGCAGAGACCTTTACCCAGCATGGGGTCAATCCCTGCCCCAAAGGAGGAGGAAGGGTGGGAAAAGCAGGCAGAGGAGGACTGACTCCCCATCCCAGAGTCCTGGACCAGAGAGGGGTTCCTGGCTTGTGCAGGGCGCAAAGAGCCAAAGGGAACCCCAGCTCCAGCTCCATTCTCCCAGGCGCTCCAAAGGATGGGACCCCTCATTTTTCTTTCCTTTCCTTTTTCCCTACTTGAGGAGTCTGAGCTCAGGGAGCTGAAATGGCATGCTCAGGAATCTCAAGTTAACTTCTAAACTTGGAAGTCAGAAGGAATTCCTCACCTCTCTGCCCCACCCCATCTGCCCCATCTCAGGGAAGGGTGCCTCTGCTCTGCACCTGAGCGCTCAGACCAGAGACCCAGGACCCTCAGGAGCCCTCTCCTCCCACCCAATCTGTCACCCAGTCTCGTGGCTTCTGCCTCCAAAATACACCTGAACCCCTCACTCTCCCTCTGCAGCCCCCCAAGCTCACATGGACTGCAGTGGCCTCCTTGCTGGCCTCCCTGCCTCCATGCAGCTCCCACATCCCATACTCAGCAGCCTGAAGGCCTTGAAAGCGAGGATCAGCTTTTCACTTCAATAAAGTCCAAAATACTGCCTATTGCCTGCAAGCTTCTCCTCACCTCATGTCCCGCCCTTCTCCCCAAGCCCACCGACTCTTCGGCCTTCTGGAGTGGACCAAGCCTGTCCCTCCGAGCCTTGCCCATGCTTCCCTCCCCTCATCCTCTGGTCTCAGCTGAGGCCTCTCCTCAGAGAGCTTCCCTGACTTCTGTCCCACCGCCCCGCCCTCTGTGTCAGAGCCTTTCCATCTTTGCGGGGACGTGCTTATTTATTTACTATCAAGGCCTCAAGTTCCAGGAGGGTGGGATCCCCATGCCCGGTGCTGGCTCTAGGCCCTCAGTCAATAGCTACTGGGGGGGAGGGGAGGACAGGAGGGAGAAGCAGACGATCCTGCGTGGTCCTGCACGGTCGGTGTATGACCTCCCTCTTTCAGGGGAGGACACTGGGACTTCATTCCTACCTGGCACTCAGCTTGTATGAGCTCTTTAAGAGTTTTTGAAGACTCTAACGCACCCCCAGTGTGTGGGGACGTGGTCTGGACAGCAGGACCTACCTGTAGAGAACAGGGTTTTCCGTGACCCAGTCATTGGGTAGGCTGTGCACCCACTTCCGCTGCCGAGGAGATATCATCTCCCCTTCGGGAATATCCGTCTTCTTCATCAAGGGCTTCCTGCCATTCTTCGGGGTCATGGAACACTCCAGAGCCCGCTTCCTGGTGGCTGCCAGGGAGCGGACCAGCTGCACCTGAATCCACGGAAGATGTGGGTTGGGGGGGGTCAGAGCTGCAGGCTCCCTGCACCCTGAGGCTGACTGTGCAGTCTCAGAAGCTCACATGGGGACCACGAGCAGGAAGGCGCTTTGCAGGGAGGCCTTCAACACCAGGGCACACCCCCTGCGGGAGGGCTCTCCAGCCCAGAACAGTCATTCAGCTGCTCCCAGGAAGGCATCTTTTAAGAAATTTTAATGAAGACCAAGATGCTCATCCAGGCATTTTTTATAATCACAAGGAATTGTAAAAATGGAACTGTCCAATAACAGGGGACTGGTTGAGTAAACGTGGTATGTCCCTTCAGTGGAATGTCAGGCATTTACTAAAAATGAGGCTTGGGAAGGATTTTTTTAGGACATGGGAAAATGCTTATGATATGATATACCATCACGTGTATCAATTAAAAGCACAGAATAAAAATTATAACTAAAATTATACAGTATGAGCTCAAAATTTAAAATGTATAGAAAAACGACTAGGAGAAAATCTGCTAAATGTTAAGAATGGTGTGTTGTTTCCAGGGAGCAGGATCACATGAGTAATCAGTTTCTTTGGTCTCTTTATGCTTTTATAATTTCCAAGCCTTCTACAGAGAGCATTATTTAGGGCTCAAAGTAGGAATGAAAGTCCCTTTTAAATAAGCAGCACGGAATTTCAAATGAAGGGTTTGAGTGTGTGTTTCTTTTAAGACATAATTTTGTCTGTGCAGTTCTTTACAGACAACAAGGCCATTCCAACAACCTATATGGTTATCAAGAGGGCGTCACTTTAATACATTATGGGAAGTCCCAGGCAGCCACCAAATGTGGAGAAGTACATGAACGCCCAGTGACACGAGATACTGTTAACAGGGAAAAAGCAGGTTTCAAAACACGAGTATAGAATCAAACTCAGCTTTAAATAGAAAAATTAGAAATGCTTTAATGCATAGGAAAAAGACCCAAGGTATCCGATGGTTAATTCTGGCTATTTCTGAGTAATTTTAATTTAATTTAATTTAAAATTTTAATTTAAATTGTCTAACTTTCAAGAATAGGCATTCTAATTTTGTATTCCTACATTTTAAGAACCAGTAAGAATTATTTTTAAAATCAAAGCAATTTCAAAGCCCTATTTCATTAGAGTCCCAGGTAAGGGGCCTTCAGAGGGAGGGAAGTTTGGGGAGCAGAGGGAATCGGGAAGCAGAAAGAGGGGGACAGAGGGGCAGGCCTACCTCAGCCTCGAAGATCTGCTGGTAGACATTCCCGCTGGGGACCTGAGTCACCTTCCCCACTGAGGACACCATGGCCGCCGGCTGGACGCCCCTGCCAGGAAGCCGTTGTCCAGGAATCATGTCTGGGTTTGGTCTCTGTTGTGACCTGGAGGTTGAGAAACCAGGCTGAGACCCTCTGCTCCGGGAGAAAGCATCGGGGCGCCTCTCTGGCCTCAGGAATTTTATTTTAAACAAAAAGAACAACGGAGAGGACGAAAAAGCAAAAAAGAAACAAACCTGAAGCAAGAACCGAACTCCTGGAGAAGGCGGGCTCTGCCAGCCGCGCAGGGCGCACGCAGATCCGAGAGGGACTTTGGGGTGAACAACAATAAATGGTTATTGTTTTGTGCTTCACTCTCCCAGCCTCTTCTGGGAAAAGCCGACCCGCCCAAGGTGTCAGCTGGGGGGATTTCGACTCCGGCGTTGGACCCCCAATCTGATGCTGAACACGGTTCAAGGACCCCCCTCACCTCCCACCCGCCACTGGACACAGTGAGGGGGAAGTAGAGGAAGGGAGAAGACTGACTGTAGCCACGCAAATTAGGCACCTACTCTGTGCTAAGAAGACCTGGCAAGTTTCCCTCGTGCGCCCTCTCCCCCAGCCCACCAAGGAGCGGGACAGCCGCTGGACATCCCATCGAAGCCCCGTCAAGCGCCGGGAGGCCCTGCGCGCAGGGGACCGCCCGGGCCCGCACCTGCCGAAAGCACCAAGCAAGTCACTCAAGGCCTGTCCAGCCTCAACTGCAACAGGACACACTTGGTCTCCAAGGCAACTCGAGGGGAGGGAGCCCCGCGGCCCCGCCCTCGCTTCCTTCCCGCGGAGGGAGGGGGTTGCCCTTGGCAACCTGAGCAACCGGGTCGGGCATGGAGCAGCGAAACTAGTCAACCCTTTCCCGGTGGCAGTTTCTCCTCTCTGCAAGGGGATACGTCAGGAGTCAGAAGCATCCAGAGCAGCGCTCTAAATATTCTGAAAACTAGGAGGGGACAGGGGATGTAGCTCTGAGCCACTGTGGTCGAGAAAATCCATCCTCTCTTTGCCTGGGTTAAAACCAACCTCTGCTGGAAGTAGCACAGAGTAGTGCCTGGCTGTAGAAAGGAGCAGACAGCGTCTCTAAAAGAGGCCAAATCTTCCTCAGATGAAATAGCAAAACAAACCAAGGACTGTTGTGAAAAGAAATGTACACAGCAGCTCTGTGCAGAGCTAAATGCAGATTCCAGCCCACCTCCAGGGGTCTGGGGTGCGGCTCTTGCCTGGGGTCTCCCACGCTCAGCAGAGCCCCCTTAGACAGTGGTCTCCCCTGCCTACCTCCCAGGTATGAATGTTTTCACGTCCTCCTGACAAAGGAAGTGATGGAGTACGCGGTGATCATACTGAAAGAGCTCAACTCCTACAGCTCCACCCTCAGCCAACATTTCTATGTTCGTGAAATCTTTGAGCAGGTATGGAGAGGGAAACCCAAAACCCAGCCACCCACCGAGAAGCAAGGGGAGAGGGAGATGTCTAGTTCTGATCTGCTGCAACATTGAATGCCTTCTCTACCCTGTGGAGTTAGGATCCGTCAGGATATCGAGGAGTGAGAAGCTGGAAGCTGTCTCTTCCTCAGATGAAAAGAGGTTGAAGGGCTCAGTTCAGGCCTCAAGGCTTGAATGGAGTTATAACAATGAGCTGCATTCATCCAACCCACCATTGACACATAACCCCCCCAAATACAACTCTGACCTAGCCACTCTCCTGCCCAAAAGCCCCTCCCCGACTCTGCAGCCCCTACCAGGTCCAATCCACAGTCCCTCCAGGACCCCAGAGACCCCCACATTGGTTCACACCTGACTCTCCTGCTTCAGCAAACTCCCCGCTCTCCCTGCATATGCCTCCTGCCCCTGCCCCTCCTCATCCTGCTCTTCTGCTGGGATCCTTCTGTCTCCACACATCCCAAACTCGCCCATACTTCCAGTCCCTACCAGTGACAAGTGTCCATCCTCTCAGTTGACCCCTCCTCTCATGTGCCATCACCTCTCCTCTCTGAACCAGCTTGTACGTTGGTTGCTGTCAAATGCAGGAGTTCACAGCCCCCATGGAAGGTGTTTCCTGAAGGTCAAGTATGCCTTACTTTTATTCAACTTCAGTTGTCCTTAGCACAGTGTCTTGCACAAAATTCAGACCCAGTGAGTGCTCCCTGGGTAAATACGTCAATACCCGGAGTGTCCTGGTCTGACTCTCCCAGAGTTTGGCTCTTTCCCACACACCCAGCCAGAGTCCTCATGGGCAGAGCTGAAAATGTTTGTGGGTGATGCTGAACCTGGGTGAGGGTTTCCTATGTATGTGGGGTAACTGACTCCTCATAGAATCCCTCCCCTCGGCAGGGGTCCCTGTTCCACTGGCTGGTAAATGCTCCCCGCAGCACCTGGGTGGAGGCGGAACCTGGGTGAGGGTTTCCTATGTATGTGGGGTACCTGACTCCTCAGAGAATCCCTCCCCTCGGCAGGGGTCCCTGTTCCAGTGGCTGGTAAATGCTCCCTATGACAACTTGCTCCAGGAAGTGATCATTCTGTCCAGACTAGATTCAGAGATTAAGATACGGTGATTAGAAAACCCTGTTATTCTCCTTCTTTGGTCCTGGGTTTTATTAACAAGGTGAAATATTGTAACGAAAGATTGGACTAACTTTATCTGGAAAATGAAAAAGTGTAGATAACTGAAGTAAAATACAAAAAAAAAAAAAAGGAATTGTCCAGGAATTATTTACAGTCATTAATGTATCTGTCTTGTCGCAGGATGCCCTGCTGGCTTGGCACTTCTACATCAGAAACAGTGTTTTCCATGCCGAGATGCTTGGTGGGTTCTAGTTTCTGACACATCTATAATTTTGAAGTTTTTTTTTTAAATACATGGATAGAAATATGTACGCATGGGTATATCATGTATGGTGTTTTGTTCTGAGTGACACATTATATAAAATAGAAAGAAAATTTAGTGGAGAAGATAAAAATAACCCATAATCTCACCACTGAGAATTTACCTCCCTTAACTTCCAAGTTTCTGAGTCTTTGTGTTTGAGTTTTGATCAAATGTGGAAATTTGTTTTTGGCTGTTTCATGACATTTGTATTGCCCTCCCAACTCTAGAGTGTCATAGTTGGAAAGACTAACCAGCTAGAGATCACCTGGTCAGTCCACCTCTTGATGGGCAGGAGTTGAGAAACCTGGAATGCAACGAGTGAAGCCAAGCATTTGACCTCTTCTTCCTGCACCTCAACATCATATCTTCCCCCTCAGTCTTCACCTTGCAAATGTCTCTTTACTTGAAACTCGTCCTTTTCCTTCCTCTTTCACAGGCCATCATGCATCTTCTCCATGGCTCACAGAAAAAAGAACAAAGGAGTTACTCAGTTTTTCCAGGTCTCTCCCATGATACGATGGCCTTTGCTTTCTTAGACTATTTTTGGGAATGAACTTTCTGGATCTATTTTGGGGATGCTTCTTGAATCCATGGTTAAGCTTATCAGTATGAATTGCTGTTAAGATCCTACTAGTCAATGTGACTAGACAATGGATGGTTTAAATTGGAAAAACTTCTAAATTAGAAAAAAAAATTGTGAGAGCTCTTATCATAACTGTGTCAATGCAAATAATCTATAAACAATCTATAAATCAAAATTAGAGTGAGTTTATTCTGAGCCAAAATGTGAGGATCATATAGCCCAGGAGAGACCTTCCACAAAGGAACAGAGCACTCCAAAGTTGGGGTGTACAGGGTGGTTATATAGCATCAAAGAGCATGTATCACACGATTGAAATACTCACAAGGTTGCTTGTTGGCACAGCAATTGATGGACACAGCAGGTAGTAGGTCTGCTGTTTCTATGGGCACAGCAGGAAGCAGGTCTGTTGTCTCCAGCTGGGTGGTCACAGGTGAGCACAGCAGTTGTTCCTGGCTTAGGGAGAGATGCTTATCCCCAAGGAAATGCTAATGTGGGGGAAATTGCACCTTTATCTTAAGGCCATTTGTTTTTGCCTTTGGGACATAGAAAATGCTTAAACCAGATATACAATGCATGCTAGATGGCCATGTCAGTCCTTTTGGAAAAAGAACTAAGGTTAGGCCAAATCACCTTTACACCAAATGGTTTCCTCATATACTCCAATATATCCTATTGCTTGGCATTTTTATTATTGTTTTATTGATACCTATGAAAAGGCCAAATTCAAAAGAAAATACAAAAAAAAACTATGATTGGCCTTAAGACCCTGACTCAGGTTACAGTTAAATTGAGAAAATGTAAAAGTAAAGTATTGATGAGATTATAAAGGTTGGAATGTTTGAGCTGATTTTATATAAAGACGTTATATCAACTTTGCCTGAGTATGTCTTAAAATGTCTGACTGAGAATACTTCCCCTTTAGACCAAGACCTATTGATAAAGTTCTAAGGAAAAGCTATGATTAGAGGTATGAGTTGATAAAAGTCAGATGAAATTTTGTAAAAAGAATTAATATATTTATGGGCTTTACGTGAAGTGATCGTGTCTCTTTTTGCCTGATTGTATTATAGATTGTTTTGTGAGGATAGACATTGTGTCTCACCAGGGAACGTTTCCTCTGCCTGAGTGTAAGACAGCATATAAATCTGCCCTTCAGACAGTGTTAATTAAACTTACTAAAGAGAAGTCAATAGGGTTGCCTGAGCCCACACCTTATGAGATAAAACTAGAGGCTAATATCAGGTGCTAATAAACAGATAATAAAAGCTGACCCCCCCCACACACACACAAGGTAAATTGGTCTAGGGTTAAATTGTACTCTTTAAAGGTGGGGGGGGGGGCCTTTGTTAAATGCTTTGCACAGACTTTTAAAGGTGTGATACATTGTCCTGAAAGTTTTAGAACATAAAAATATTTTGATTCACCTCTTGAGTTAAATATTTCCCTGATATAAAGACATTAGAAACAGATAAGGCAAATATGCCCCAGAAACTCCATCTTGAAGAAACGTAACTGCTTTTTCTGTGCCTTTATGATGTAAATTTTCTGCTCTCATCTTCTCTGGGACCTGAGAGCTATTCTTTGAAATGAAAATGTTCCTCAGAAACGATTGAGTTTTATATAACACCTGATTCATAACAAAAATTTAATGTCTCTGTGTCTACTTGTGTGTTCATGTGTGTCTTTATGTATGTTACATATGTGTGATATTTTACCTCTGGATGGTATGGCCAAAGTTAAGAGCTCTTTAATTGGCTTAAAGTAAGTGCTTACATTATTTCTAAATGTAATAGAAACTAACCCAAATGTCATTCAAGTTAACATGATAAAATTAATCTTTGGTAACTGAAAGCTTATTTAAGATTGTTGGTTTGATGAAAATGGACATGTCCTCAAAGTTATCAACATTGGATATCAGGCAGACATGCAGCCTGTGTTTACTAGTGATGTAAGTTTGTGTTTTCCCTGTTACAAATTTGTCAGCAGAAATAGCTTAGAATGATAGCTAATTTTGTCTAATGTCTCATGAAGTTTTTGTGGGTAATCTAAACATAATTGTTGGCAACAAATGATTTAGAGTTTATTGATAAACTTAGCAATAATTATAGCTTATGGCATGTATATTTAAAATAACTTCCAAAATCTCTCTGGTAACTTGAAACTTTGAAGTTTTGCTAGCTTATTTTAATTGCTAAAAATTCATTAAATACCTAGATGATCTCTAAATAAGATAAAATATTAGATATTAATTATTAAATATGTTTATCTACCCTTGGCTTAT